AAGAAATGGCAGTGAACGTGCGTGTGTTTGGGGCTCACTTACGTGCCCTGAGCGGGGACTGCGAGTTCGCACTTTCCAAGCCAGGCAGGAGCCACCCGGGAAGAAGCTGGAGGTGGGGGCTGGAGGCCGGTGAGCAAGTTCATCAAAATTGCAGAGCCCCCAATCAGAGTGCTTGTTCCGACGACAGAATTTTTAAAAATAATAGATGATCTTATTTATCTGAAAACTCCTCTCACTGTAAGAACACTTTGCCTTGGGCTGTACATTTAGCCAGTCTTCTTTTGAAAAAAAAGAAAAATTGCAGACTGTCCTGGCAAGTTTAGGGCGCTGGTGGCTGCTGCCCGGCTTAGCATTTCCTGCCTCCAGTCCCTGGGCGCGCGCTGGCCTCACCCGGCTTCTCTGCAGCAGGCCTAGGCCCGCATCCAGAGCTCTGCTCTCCCCTCACAGGCATGAGCGTGGCCCTGGAATGGGGGCAGGGCAAAGGCAGGGATTTTGCGGGGTGGCCCCAGCTGCCCCTGGAATGAAGAGACCACAGACCAGCTCCTCCCTGTGCCCTCTCACTGGACCTCCTTGAAGTCCAACAACGTGACTAGCCCAGGGGCAGAAGCACAGGAGGAAGGGGCGGGTCTGGAGCAGGAGCAGGGGCGGCCTGGGGGCCTCCTGAGAAAATGCCAGCAGGCCTCTGTGTTTCATCCCTTTTAAGAAAAACCCTCCTAACCCCCCCCCCCATTTTAAGGTCTGAAGTCAGAATGCATTCTGCTGACCCCATCTTAGAGCTGTCTTGGGTTTGAGGGCATTTATTTCCTAGGGGCACATAAAACTGGTGCATCTTACAGTCAATTCTGCCTTAGAGCCTAGGAAATCTCACCGGGCACCCCTGCGCTGGCGACAGCAGGTGGGCTGGAGAGTTGGTTTCCGGCCAGCAGCTGCCCCTCCCAAGGTCCATGCAGAATTCTCCTGCTACCATGGACCAAAAAGACTTGGCCTTTTCTTTCCTTTGTCCCAAAGGGTGGATTGCTCTATCTTGCAATCCCCCCTGGAAGCCCCCCACTTTGTAAGGATGAGCCGTTGGGGGCACCACGGTGCAGCAGGAAGAGCCCAGGACTTCTGAGTCCACGGGCTGGAAGTGGACAGCACCAGCCACCCCCACGCTGAGCCTCAGGCTTGTGCTTTGACAGCGTGTTCATATTAATTCTTTCCTGGTTTGCTTTTAAAAACCGACATTCCTTGAGTGGGTCTGACACGTGTCGTATCGTCTCACTTAATCCCCGCGGCAGTGACCGCTTCCTCCTTGCAGATGGGAAGCCTGAGGCTCGGGAAAGGAAATAACCTGGCAGGGCCCCCAGCTAGTGAGGGGCGGAGTTGGACTCTGAACCGCGGTGTTTGGTCGTCAGTCCTGGGGACACTGGCAAGCTTCCTGGGACCATGCCAGCCCAGGTGCTGTCCTCGCTGACTCCTGAACAGCCGCTGCCGTGGAGGCTCTGACGTGCAGCCCCCCGTCCCGCAGGCCGAGCCGGCCTCCTTGGCCCACTGATGAGGAGAGATGCCTTTGAAGGCCTCAGGCTTCCCCGTGACAGCCCACACCTCAGGTGTCCGTGAACAGAGTCCTGATCCTGCTGTCCTGACTCAGGCACCTGCCCGGGGTCAGGCCCCAGCCTGGCCACGAAACAGTCCCGGCTGCCCGCCGCCCAGCCCGCTTCCTGCCCTTGTGCGCGTCTTCACCCTCCAGTTATCTCCCATCGCGACCCGCTTGCTGACTCCCCCTCAGGGGCTGCTTTCTGGGGACCCAGCCTGCGACACTCGACAATTTCTTGTTACGTGTTGGTCTGGTGGCCCGTGTTCATAGCTACCTGTCAAGCGCAGAGCAGTTTTCTTTCCACGTGGACTTACAGAGCCTTGAATTGGGTTCGGCCAACATCTGTTGAACACTTGCTGCCGCAAATCACAGCTAGGAGCCGGCAGCGGAGGAGACTGGATGCGCCTCTGTTATCCTGAGAAGAGGAGGCATGAGGCGGGCACCATGCAGCCCTTGAGATGCTCACACGCAGTGAGACCCACAAGCCGGGACATCGGGAGCAGACGCGGGCGGGAGGTGGGGAGCTTGAGCAGGAGGGAGTGAGGGGTGCAGCCCGGAGGGCAGGGGAGGGGTGCCAGGGCTGGAGGGTTCTCAGCAGTTTGCTTTGAAGGGCCTGGGCTGGAGGGGGAAGGGAATGGAAGTTTCCAGATACTTTCCTCATTTGTGAAGTGTGGGTAATACTAGGAAGCTTCATACCATTGTCTTGAGGGTACATGAGAGAGTTTGCAAGATGTTTTCTTTTTTAATCAACTATCAGATCCTTTACAACTGTTAAAGCTGTAGACAGGGCCTGGAATGTGGCCCAGAAAGGGAAGGCTGGTTGAGGGTAGACAATGGCTGGAGAGTGGGGAGACAGGGAGCTGAGTCCCCGGCAGATGCTTGCAGAGACTGTGGATGGGGGAGGGGCCCACAAGGAGCTCTGGGCCCCCCACAGTGCCAAGCACTGGGCTTTGTGCCTCGCAGACCCTGCAGGTGGCTCCGAGTCTATGACCAGCCGGAGCAGCCGGGGGCCGGTCAGCACGAGTGCACAGGTCTCCTGCCTGTGCCTCCAGAGGGCAGATGGAGCAGTGGGCTTCGGGAAGGCTTGTGTGGGCGCCTCTCCACTCCCCCCAAGTGCAATTAGGCAATTTGCTTTTCCTGGAGACGTGAGTGGCGGCGCCAAGTGGGACAGCGCCCAGGCTGACAGCGTGACGTGGGTCAGACCTGTCTGACAGGAGGGCACGAGGTGGGCAGAGCCTCCTGCATGTGCCCTCTGGCCTGCTTAGCTGCAACTTTCTCTGCCCTGCTTTGAACACGGCACCATGTTCCTCTGCGTCGGCTCCATCGGCGGATTTCAAATCCATGTGGTGCTTTGTGAGCAACACCTTGAAATCCTGGTAAATTTAACTGTGTGAAACAGGAACTCTTGGAAGAGGGAAGCCCGCCCTGTGTACTTTGTTTTTTTTTTTAAAGATTTATTTATTTATTTATTTTATTTATTTATTTTATTTTATTTATACAAGCACTGGGTACAGTCAGAAGCGCGGGAAGGTGAGAGAATTCACCAGAGCCAGAGCGGGGAGCAGAGCAGGCAGAAGGACCGAAGTACACTGCTGAGGGGAGCAGCGGGCGGCAGGAGAGGTCTGCGCGCCATGCGGGACCCTCCTCCGGTGGCCGGGGAGCAGCCGGGGATCGAACAGGCGCCGCGGAGGCTGCGGGCCGCTTCGCAACCCAGCGCTCAACCGCTGCGCCACCAGGGAGGCCCCCGCCCTGTGTACTTTGTATCACCACCTTATGGGAGGTACAGGCGCCAAAGCGCAGGCGGGTAAGCCATAGGGGTCGATGCCCCTCCAGGCCGATCTGCGCCCCTCCAGGCCCATGTGTGCCCCTCCAGGCCCATGTGCGCCCCTCCAGGCCCATCTGCGCCCCTCTGCTTCCTTTTCTCGGTCAGCGGCACCAGCAGCCCCCCAGAGCCCAAGGTAGGAACCCAGTTGTCTTCACTCCTCTCCCTGCTCAACCCCATGCCTGGTCTCCCCTGGCAGCATCTTTCCAATAACGGGGTTCCCGAAGTTGACTTCCCAGCGAGCCCCTGCTCTGAATGTTTCCCTCCGCCCTCATTCCCGCCACCTTCATGGGGCGACCACGATCTCTTACTTGACCTGCAGACACCAGCTCAGTCCTCTGGAGTCTCCTCCAGCTCTGTTCCCTCTGTCCCCAAACTTTCAGGGATCCCCCAGTTTCTAAGACCTGATCTGGCCCGTGAATGGCCCCCCAGTTTAATTTTCCTCCATTTCACCATCACGCCCTACATTTTTTGCACCTATATGCTGCTCAGGACCTCATTATTTTCTCTAGCTAGAACATCGCTCCTATCCGGTTGCCTAAACTCTCTCTCCTGCCTCACTGCTGGTGATGCCTCCTCCAGGGAGTCTCTGGGAGGAGAAGCCATTCTCCAGGGGCCTCCGGGCGAGCGCGCAGAGAGCCTTGTCATCTCTCACTTGGGTTCCTACAGCCTCCCAGCTGGTGTCCCGCCCCCTGCTTGGCCCAGCCTTCCCATCCGCTCCCCAGTCAGATTCTTCTCTCTGGAAGCCACAGCAGAGGGTGTGACTCCCCTTCCTCGAGGGTCCACTCTGAACTCCTGCCAAGTCTCACAGGTCTCACCTGTGGCAACCTGCCCGTTCAGCCCACGCCCAGCCCTCTGTGTCCAGCCACCCGGCGTCCTTCTAGCCCCCCTCCGTGGCACATATACTAGTGCGCGCCTGGCCAGGTCTAGACTATTCCACCACCGCCCCTGCCAGCTCCCAGCTCCCAACTCTCTTCCTGGCTCACTCTTACCTGTCTTTCAGGGTCTGTCAAACTCGACTCCCTCTGGAAGCCTTGGCACCCCTAAACTAGGCTATGTACCCCTCATAGATTCCACAGCTTGATGAGCTGGCTACTGCTGCTTCTACGCTGTGGGCCGGAGACACGCGTGCACTGAGCTCCGGGCCGTGCGCTGAGCCCTGTATAAACCGATGCTCCAGACATGTCCGGACTCAGCAGAGGAAGACGGTCTCCGCTGCTGCCGCCGGCAACTACTGGGGCTCTTCGCTGACTTGTCTTCAGCGTGTGGTGCAGAGGCGAGACTGCTAAGTGTCTGTTGAATAAATGGACGGATGGATGGATGAATGATCAGCTCTTTTCCAGCGCGTTTATCTCATTATACTCAAAAACAACGCACACCTTCTCGCTTGTTTCGCCATCTGCGGGGAGTGGCGGGCAGCAGGCTCCAGCGCTGCAAGAAAATTACTGGCTGCAAACCTTAAAATCCCGCAGCTAGAGAATGTTCTCTCTTGACTGGCAGTGGCTGGTTTTCGTTCTGGAGCCCTCCGTGGAGCGAGCCTGCTCAGGGGGGGGGGGGGGGGGGGGGCTCCTGCTTACTCCCGTGTCCATTTTCCCCGACCAGGGCCCGGTCGCCCAGTGGCCACGCCGCCCCGATGGAGCCGCTGAACATGTCCTCGTACGAAGACGACCTGGAGAGCCAGAACTGGACCCGGCCCTTCAACGGGTCCGAGGGCAAGGCTGACAGGCCCCACTACAACTACTACGCCATGCTGCTCACCCTGCTCATCTTCGTCATCGTCTTCGGCAACGTGCTGGTGTGCATGGCCGTGTCCCGCGAGAAGGCGCTGCAGACCACCACCAACTACCTGATCGTCAGCCTGGCCGTGGCCGACCTCCTCGTCGCCACGCTGGTCATGCCCTGGGTCGTCTACCTGGAGGTGAGTCTGAGCCAGGATCCCCCTGGTTTCTGCCAGCAAGTCAGCTGGTGTTTCTCCAGTGGCTTCCTCCTCCTCTGTGGGATCAGCATCCCCCCACCCCCCACCTCATGAGATGGGTAGATGGTCTCCGTAACAATCCGGCGGCCAGCGCAGAGAGCCGACGCAGGGTCAGGACGCTGTCAGGGCCTTTACAACCAGCGCGTCCCGGGCAGTCGGCCCGGGGGCCGAGCGAGGCCGGCGTGACCATCCCCGCTTTACAGACGGTGAGCCAGGCCGGCAGGCGACCGCACCAGGGCACCCGCTGGCAGGTCCAAGCTGGAGCTCCCTCTGGCCCCCGAGTTGGCTTGTCAGGTCACCTCTGGGAATGGGAATAACTGATGAGGACCCCCAAGGGAGGGAAATGTTTATACACCCAGGCCTGAGGTCTTCATTCCTGTCTCCCCACCTTCAAAAATGGGGGCTGCAGCTATGCTCACCGCCTTCCTTCCTGCTCCCAGTTTGCTCTATTGCTGCTGTCTGGGAACCCCAGGGAGAGGCCCCTGAGAACCGTGCTGCCCCGCCTTCCCTTAGGAAGGGCTGAAGAGTGGCCCATTGCTGGGCGCAGGACAGCTCTGGCCCTTGAGTTGGTGAGCAGGTAGCCCCTGCGGGGGTCTGGCTCCATGCCGGACCTTGGCCAAGAGACTCAGCAAATCTTCATATTAATCCCGGGCGCCCATGCTGTTCCCCTCATCTTACAGAAGAGGAAACAGAAACTGGGAGAAGCTGCCTGTCTCCAGCTGGGCCACACAGCCACAGCCACGGGGAGACTGCTGGGTGGGAAGGTGCGAAGTGTGGACCCTCCTCCAGGCAGAGGCTTTCAGAGCTGGGGGCAGATGGAAGGGTCTGGATCTGCCCCCTTCTCTGCTCAAGTTTCAGGAGTAGAATCTGGGAGCTTTCATCGTTCAGGATGAAGCAGCACTGAGGTCGCTCAGATCCCCGAGCTGGCGTCTTCCTGCCCAGCAGGACAGCCTGTGCAGAAAGGCTTCCACTTTTAGAAGGGAAATTGAAAGCTTTGCAGGTGTGAGTGGAGAAGACATGTGGGCACTGAGCTGGGGAGCGAGGCTGGTCAGAGTAGAGCCTCCCTGCAGCCACGCCTCATCCCCCACCCGCCGGGTTTCCGTTAGCACAGCAGAAAAAGCGGCACTTTGAAGGTGACCTTAGTGGATGGCAAGGAAAACCAAAAGGCAACAGACCAGAGACCTAACAGCAAAAACACGTGGGTGCCTCAGGAGGGCCTGCCCTCCACGACAAGCTCTCACAAGGTCCCTGGACTCTGCCCATCCCTCTCCGGTGTGAGGGCCTCTCCCGGAGCTGCTGCTGCTCAAGTCTAAGGCCTCCTGCCTTCCTCCAGGCAAGGGGCCCTGGCCTCAGACCTGTGGCGAAAGGGACAGCTGGCAACCACCTGTCTGTGCCTCAGTTTCTTTATGCAGTGGAGATCATGCTACCACGTAGGTGCCGTTATTGTTTGAGACTCACAGTGAGCGCGAGGCGAGCGTAGAGTGTTCCCACGCGCTGGAAGCTCCATGGAAGCCAGCCGTGACCTCGGTGACTAAGTGACAGTGGGTGCCCAGCAGCTCCCCATGAAGACCCCCCTGGTGCCGAGGCAGAGAGGCGCCCTCTCCCAGAGTGAGGTGAGCTCTGCCCAGGACTCGGGGGCCCTGCCATGGGGCAGTGTCTCAGCTACTTTTTGTCCCACCTTAGAGTCTCACCTGCTCCCAAGCCTGTGGCAATCTCCCTGCAAGCGCATCTGTGCCGTCCCCGAGAGCTGCTCTTGTACCGAATTTTCCATCCAGTCCTGTCTCTGGCCATGGTAGATGCCCCCACCTGGTGCGCCCGCTCCTGGGGAGCACGGGGGGCTGCTGTGCGCGAGTCCCCTGCCGGTCCCTCCGCCACGCGCGTGTTCATGGCTTGGAAGTGAGGCGTCGGGTCCAGTTTGCACCTCCACCCCTTTCCATCTGGAGAAGCTCCTGAGGGCGAGAACCGGGGGCCCGAACGTCATACGTCATGCCCTTTGGGCCTCACCGACCCTGGGGGTAGGTTACTGGGTGCGTGCGCCAGCTGGGAACGCGAGATGACGAGTGAACCAGCGAGGGTGGCAGCTGTCCGCTCGTTGGGTGGGAGCGAGCACTGCCCGGCGCTGCCCCATCTGCGGGGCTGGTCCACGAGGATGGCGTTTCCTCTCGGTGGCGGCCGCACCCGGGGCGCCCGTCGCTGCGCTTAGATGCCAATGTCTGCTTTTACGCTGAGCCCCCGAAAGAGAGAAGTGCGGTGATTGAGGCCCCCTGCCATGCCAGCCACACTGAGGGGCCCTGCCCGGTCTCTCCTGGCGAGGGGCCCCGCCCTGCCCCGGGAGGGCCTTTCTGGCTGTTTCCTCCAGCGGGAGCAGCCCCGGGTGCGCCTCCCTGCCTGGAACCTGCTCAGGGTAGGGGCTTCCGGGGCCATCCGGGTGGCCTGCCGTGTGGGCGTGCTCGTGGGCCGCGGGGCGCGGACGTGCACGGGTGCGGGAGAGCGGGCGTAGGGCTGTGTGTGTGAGGAGAGGGATGGGGGTGTGCGAATGGATGCGCGTCAGTGTGTGCGTGTGAGGGGGTATGAGTGTCGGGTGGAGTGGGGAGAGGTACACGAAATGCTCTATTCAGGGCCTCTTTACTTCCCTTCATGCCACCTAGCAGCACTGCACCCCGCTCCCCGGCCCCCCCAGTTCTCCTAAGCCACTACCCCCGAGTGTGTCTTTCCTTCTCGAGGTGTACAAGGAGTACAAAGGCCTTCCCTGTTCCACAGACGCGTCGTCTTCACCATTGTGCGTAACACAGCCTTACGGGCCCCCGTCCCCCGCCCCCCGCCGTGCTGAGCATGGAAAGGGCTGTGTGGCTCCCCAGAAACCTGGGCCAGGCCTGGGAGCTGGGCAGAAAGGCCTTGGGCAGCCCACAGTGCTGAGCTCCGTTTCCTCACTGGTGAGATGAGGTCGCGAGGTGCACACACGAAGGGTTTGCAGGGGAAGGTTCAAGGCTGAGGCACTCGGCACGAGCTGGTCGCTTTCCTTGGGCGCGGTGCTTGGCAGAGAGGCCTTGTGTGTCTAGAAGGGGCTGGGAGCAAGGCTCTCACAGGCAGGCCTCTCCCTCGCGGCCCTCTGCTCCCCAGACCCCAGCTGGGGACCCACACGACCCACAGCTGCCCCCCGAGCCCGGGCCCGGTCTGCCCCACGAGGGTCGAGCCGCGGGCCTCCGCTGGCCTGCTCCGCGCCGCCCATCAGGCTGCTTTGTCTCCAGGTGGTGGGCGAGTGGAAGTTCACCAGGGTTCACTGTGACATCTTTGTCACCCTGGACGTCATGATGTGCACGGCCAGCATCCTCAACCTGTGTGCCATCAGCATCGACAGGTGAGCCTGGCCGGGTCGGGGCTGACCAGGCCGCTCTCCTCTTGGATTGTCCCACCCACCCTGCGGGGTCTGGCTCTTCTGTGATGTGGTTGCCGCCCTGTGCATGTGCATGTGCATGGCTGGGAGGGCACAAGCGCCTCTGAAGAGAGGCCATCGTGCCAACAGTGACACGGCCAGGAGGATCCAGCCAGTGCTGGGTGTAGTGGAGACGGGCTTGATCCTGACTGAGCCCGAGCTCCATCGCTTCCCACTTAGGTGACTCTGGGGAGGAGGTGGAAGTTCTCGGGGGCCCGGTCTCACTGCCGAGGCATCAAGGACGGCAACACCTGCCCCCACGCAGCCGCCATGTCTAGTGACACGCTGTACATCCCACATCCTACGCAAGCACAGGGGGCCTGTGTCGTGCTCACTTGCCAAGCTGTATCCTCATAGCCACTTGCTCATTTGCACAGATGGGCCTTGCGGGCTCCCAGAGGTCCCAGCCTCCTCCCCTGGCAGAATTCTCGGAAGATGAACCGAGCTCATGAGTGAGAAGTGCTGGGCAGAGCGGCGTGAGGATCATACATGGTCACTGTGTCCTCATGTTCTGCTGCAAGGCTTAGTCCTTCCTCTGAGGGGCCTGGCTACCCGCCCTTCAGCTCACCCTCCCACGTTCTGCAGGCCCAGCACAGGCGCTCAGGGTCATTTTCAAAGGCGAGTCCAGGGCAGTTAAAAGCCAAATGCCCAGAGGGGAGACAGGAGTAACAGGCCTAAGGTGCAGGGCGGCCGGTCAGTCACCCTGATCGTCCTGGCTCTGAGGTAGGGCAAGCAGATTCAGAGCAGGTGGCTGTCACAGAAGTGGACCCACTGTCCATCCCCAAGAAGTGGGGTGCTCTGATGTATGCTGGAGAGTGAGGGGCTCCTGGGCCCACGCATACCCCAGGCTCAGGCCCTGGCCCTACAGGTACACGGCAGTGGCCATGCCCATGCTCTACAACACGCGCTACAGCTCCAAGCGCCGGGTCACCGTCATGATCGCCATCGTCTGGGTCCTGTCCTTCACCATCTCCTGCCCGCTGCTCTTCGGACTGAACAACACAGGTGAGTCTGGCCCTTGTCCACTGGGGTTCAGCGGGCCCCGAGGCCTCGCTCCGGTGTGTGGCGCAGAGGGAGCGCCACCGCTGGCAGACATGGGTGAGGCCATGCGGGGCCCCTTCATCACCCTGGCCAGAGACCAGGCTGGCCAGGTTGGGCCAGAGTGGGCCAGTGGGCTGGGGCGCCTGTCGGGTGAGGACTCAGGGTAGCGAGGGGGATATCCGGCCCTTCCAGCGTTGTCTGTGAACCCGAGCAGGCCGGACAGCTGCACGACCTCGTGTGTGTGCAGCAGTGTGTGGGCACGCAGCGGGGGAGACGCCGCAGTCGAGGGCCTCTGAAGCCCGGTCTGAGCTCTCTGCCCCAGGAGGGTGAGAAGGCGCCTGGCCCGGCCCAGCACTGGCTGCCTGGAGCTTATGCGGTCAGGGAGGCAGGGGCCAGGCGGGGGGCGTCCTGGACATCATGACAGAACAGCACCAGGGAGACCTCAAAAGTGTGCCCTGCCAAGTCTCGCTCTCGTGGGCGTTCCGACAACTGGGAGTAGGGCTAGGCAGGCTTGGTTCATCGGGGTAGGCCCTGAGCTCGAGGACAGACAGCGGGGCGACCCGGAAGGAACTTGGGGACACGGGTGAGTGAGCACGCAGGCCCCAGCCGCCTCTGCAAACTGGACGGCGGCGGACCGCCCCGCCGGGAGCAGTAATGCTTCACCCTTTCAAAGCAGTTTTCTTCTGTCCCTTTTCTCCCAACGCCGAAGCCCCGCTCGGGAGCCCTGGGTGAGCAAGCCCATGGTGGAGGGGGCCCGTGAGCAGAGACTTAGACGCCGCCACAGCTTAGCTTTGTGCTCACGGTTGTGTTTTTAATCCTCAAGTTTCAACCGCGCGTTTATTTACCTGTGATGTTTCAGGCAGACTTAGGCTTCCAGCCTCCTCTCTGTACAGTCGCTCCTTGCTCTGGGAAGGAGAGCGAGGTCTCTGGGGGCCCCGGGGGCCGCTGACTCCCGCCCGCCGGGGCTCTCCCTCCCCCAGCCCAGAACGAGTGCATCATCGCCAACCCGGCCTTCGTGGTCTACTCCTCCATCGTCTCCTTCTACGTGCCCTTCATCGTCACCCTGCTGGTCTACATCAAGATCTACATGGTCCTGCGCAAGCGCCGCAAGCGGGTCAACACCAAGCGCAGCAGCCGTGCGTTCAGGGCCAACCTGAAGGCTCCACTCAAGGTCCTGACCATCCCCCCATCAGCCCCCACCCCCGTGACCCCCTCTGACCTAATTGAGGGCCTGTTCCCTTGCTCAGGAGGGGGTGCAGGCTGCAGGAGCCCCGAGGAGCAGGGCGAGGGCAGGTTTTACAGGCTTGGACCTCAGTGGAGTACCTTGAGCCTCCGGGAGTGGGGCGGGGGGTGCAGAGCGATGAGACTTGGCTTGGACCCCTTTCCTGGGCTCAGCAGCTCCGGCACCCGCCCTCACCCTGGCCCCTTCCTCTCCGTCTGACACACCCCACCCTCCCCGCTCCTTTGCCTGCCTTGGTCCTGGTCCTCCCCCTCGCCAGCGCCTCCTCTCTCCCCTGCGCCTTCCTACTTCTCCACTCTGCCCTCCTGATTCCACCCGCCTGCTTATGTCTTGTGAGTTCTCCTTTCTGCTCAGCCCTCCCTGAGGAAGGCAGCATGTGGGCATGGCAGGAACAAGAGCTTTGGGGTTAAACACATCAGATGCAAAGCCTGGCACCGCCACTTTTTCTGCTGAGTGACCTTGGGCAAGTTGCTTAACTTCTCTGAGTCTCAGTTTCCTCCTCTGTTACGTGGGAATCATGATGCCGGCCTCACAGGGAGCCCCTGAGGCCTCCATGTGGAAGGATGTGCGTAGGCGCGCACAGGGCCTGCTCCGTAGCAGGTGCTCCAGGAGGGCCAGGTCCCTCTGGCCTTGAAGGCTGCCTCAGACTCCACCACCTACTCTGCCCTTTTCTGGGCCCATGTCCAGTCTGACGACCCTGATGGGGTGTCTGTCCCTATCATGACCGGTGTGCTGGCTCCCTCCACAGGGCAACTGCACCCACCCTGAGGACATGAAACTCTGCGCCGTTATCATGAAGTCTAATGGGAGTTTCCCAGTGAACAGGCGGAGAGCGGTAAGTGTCCAGGTCAGGGGCCCAGAGACAGGCTCCCCGGCTAGGGACGCGCACTGGCCATGATCCTCAGAGACCTCACCAGTGGTCCAGGAGAGAAGCAACTCATGGGGATCCCCTACTTTACCTCACCACACACGCCTCCTAAGCGGGTGTGGAGCAGGAGTCCACAGAGGTGAACTCAGCACAAGGAAACAGTGGGTAGGCAGGACTCAGCCACCATAACAGACAATAATAGTCGTGGCTAGTACCATTGACTGGACACCTCCCACGATCCTATTATCTCATCACATACCCCCAGTGACCCCGAGAGGTAAGTCATATTGATCTTACCATCTTTACCGCACAGAAGAGGAAACAGAGGCTCAGAGAGGCCAGGTAACTCACCTGTGGTGTAACAGGTAATGGGTGACAGGGCATCTGAGCCCAGACCTGTGTGACCCTAACTCTGTGCTGCGTTATTCCCACTCGCTGCCTTGTGGCAGGCAGGGTCTGAGGCAGGGGGTGGGGTGCAGCATCACAGCAGACCCCATGCCTGCCAGAAAGCAGGAATCCCATCCCGAGGACAGGCTGGGGGACCCACCGAGGCCACACACAAAGTTCAGGAAGCAGAACTCCCACACTCACCTGCACGGCCGGGGCGGGACTCCTAGGGGCTGTTGATGAGACTGTGCCTCCTCAGGGACTCAGGAGGAGGCCCAGCTACCCGACCTGGCACACGGCGAGGCTGTCAGCTCAGGCTGGGGGTCCTAGTCCTGGAGCAAGGAAGAACAAGGAGCCCATGAGTGGATTCACGCTGGGGCCCTCCAGGGATGATGTGGCCCTGTGGCCCCTGGCTCAGTGTGGCAGGAGCAGGGCCCATCTCTGCCGTTAGAACACGAGCTCCTGGCGGCAAATGCGGAAGCCAGTCAGGAATTTATCCCGGCAGCCAGCTTGGTGCCTGGCACTCCATGTGGCTCGGTTAATAAGAGGGCACCTGGCAGTAAGTCACGGGACGGTTGCAGGGGCATGAAGCTGAATACAGATTGCTCTGGGAAGGAAGCCGGGGGCCTCCTGAGGCAGGGACCGTCCCTACCGCCCGTGACCGTCCTTGTCGGCAGTGATGCGTGGTGGTCGCGAGTCTCCAGAGGGGGCCAGGGAAGGGCAGGTGGGGCTGCGGACTCGTGGCTGAGAACCTGCCTGGCTTTACCCGGCACTCTCTGTCTGCAGGAGGCTGCCCGCCGAGCCCAGGAGCTGGAGCTGGAGATGTTGTCCAGCACCAGCCCGCCCGAGAGGACCCGGTACAGCCCCATCCCGCCCAGCCACCACCAGCTGACCCTCCCCGACCCGTCCCACCACGGCCTCCACAGCACTCCCGACAGCCCCGCCAAGCCAGAGAAGAATGGGCATGCCAGAGACCACGCCAGGATTGCCAAGTTCTTTGAGATCCAGACCCTGCCCAATGGTAAAACCCGGACCTCGCTGAAGTCCCTGAGCCGCAGGAAGCTCTCCCAGCAGAAGGAGAAGAAAGCCACCCAGATGCTCGCCATTGTCCTTGGTGAGTCAGCCGGCTGCTGGGCACAGCCCAGCTCTGCCGCCCCTGGCCGAGGAAAGGACAGTCGCTGTAGGTGCTATCACTGCCCCACAGGTCCCCTCCCAGCCATCACCGGTGGGTCAAGGGACTGGCCAGCTCGGGCACACAGGTGTTGCTCTCCTGGGTTTGAGGGCGAGCGTGTGGTGACGGCAGGCTAAAGGACTGACCCGTGACCATGCGGCGGGGGGCGATGGCACAGGCCAAGCCAGCTCTCTGCACGGCGGTCTGTCCTTTCCAGGTGCCCCTGTGGCTCTGGGAATTCCCCACGGGCCTCTAGGCTGCTATGAACACACCGAGGGCCCCCCTTGTGCAGGAGGCCCCGAGTTCGACTGGCAGTTCAGGCAGGAGGTCAGTCGGGGCAGGAAGGAGTGTCCAAGGCTGACGGAAGCTGAGAGGAGGCACAGCCAGAGCCCGGCCCTTTGGGGACCTCGGCTTTGCCTTCCAGAGCTGTCCCAGCCTCAGTTTCCCCTCTACCTCCTGGGGGCGACGGGAGGACGGAGCCGGGTGCTCCTCCCTCGGACGCAAACCCAGGCTGTGGCGCACAGGTCCCCACTCCCAGCTTTTGAGGAAGGCATCGTCCTCCGGGATGACGAGACTTCCATTCCCACTAGCTGGCGCCCGCCAGGCCCTCCCTCCATCCCTGCGAGGGGGTGTCATGTCCACCGGACAGATGACGAAAACGAGGCCGCGGGAGGTGAAGTGGCCGCTCCCCGCAGATGGGTGCGAGACCAGGCTCGGGAGCGCCGTCCCCGCGCACACAGCCTGACCGCCGCCCTCTCCCCAGGCGTGTTCATCATCTGCTGGCTGCCCTTCTTCATCACCCACATCCTGAACATACACTGTGACTGCAACATCCCGCCCGTCCTGTACAGCGCCTTCACGTGGCTGGGCTACGTCAACAGCGCTGTGAACCCCATCATCTACACCACCTTCAACATCGAGTTCCGCAAGGCCTTCCTGAAGATCCTCCACTGCTGACCCTGCTGCCCACCTGCACAGCAGCCTGCTCCCACCTCCCTGCCCAGGCAGGCCTGGCCACGACCCCTGGAAGCCACGGGCAGGAGGGTATGGGGTAGACTCAGTCTTCTCCTCGGCCCCGCAGGCCCTGCAGTGTTAGCTTGGCGCCATGCCCCTCACTGCCTGCACAGCCCCTCTTGGCCAGGGGCGTGCGAGAGAGCTGGGCACCGTGCCAGCCCTCGGGCTGTATCCCCTGGTTTGAGGGAAGCTCACAGGGCCCCCTCTCACCCTCCAGACTCCCTCTCCTTGGCACCAAAGATGCAGCGGCCTTCCTTGAGCTGGCTCTGGGGTGGCGGGGGTCAAGTCGGCGCTCAGAGGTCAGGCTCTCTGTTGGACTTGGGCTGATCTTCACAGTGTTGTGCTGGAAGGTGGCGGGGGAGAGGATGAGGGGGGCGGGAACGGACAATTCTTGCCCCACAAAACCCACACCAGGGAAGCCAGAGCTCTTGCCGAGGCCCATGTACATACCAGCCCGCGGGAGAAACCGGAGAAGGCCAAGCCAAAAATCTTCGCTCCATCTCCTATCCGACAGGAGCCTCTGCTTCCCGCTGCGGTGGGTCTTGACTCCGAACCAGCTCCCAGTAAGGTTTCCACACCCCCCGAGGGGAGCAGGCCCGGTCTCGGAGGGCCCCGGAGGGGCTGTGGGGAAAGGGACTCCTCCCCGACGTCCACGCCACCTGCTGCCTCCGGAAAGACTCGGGTGCGTCCCTTCTTGTAGCAAATGTTGGGCCTGCCGGGGGGAAGGGGGCAGGCAGGGAAGGTGGGCTTGTGACCGTGTCTGGGGCCTGGGCTGGGGGTGCCTGAGGTGTAGCGGCTGCCTCCCGCCACATTCTGCCACAAAACCACTTTCCTTTTCTACGCCTTTGCCTCTTCTCTCTCCCGTGTCCCTCCCCCCCCCACTGCCTCCGCCTTAGAGGAGCCGGTGCCCAAGCGGCTGCTCGCCACCATTTGGCCTGGCCCTGCCCCGAGGGAGGAGGGGAGGGCAGCCCGGGCCCCAGACTCTGTAACATCACTACACATGCTCCGAACTAATAAAACTTCCACAAGACTCACATCCCCGGCCCCTCGGGTGGACATGCAGCACCACGGTCCTCTGCATCCAGCGGCCGGCCGAGCCCTCATGTCCGCGCCGGGCAGCTGGCGTGGGAGGCACTCTGCAGGAGAGGGCGGCCCTGCACGGCCCGCAGGATGGCAGGGCGCAGCTGCGGGAGGACAGGGAAGATGCCTGTGCCTGCGGGTTTCTCCCTCGCCCCCATCTTTCCTGCCCAAGCGGACGGGAGCGCTCGGCCCCGGTGCTGGTGGCCCTACCCCCAACTGTCAACCAAGAGTGGGGGGAGGCACTGTCTCCGGGAAGCTCATGAAGACCCAGGGCTCCTCTAGGCACCAGAGCAGCAGCACCCAACCTCCCCACTGCCACCTTTCGGGGCCGCAGACTCGCCCTTCCCATCCACTGGAGCGGAGGAGCTCCACGGAAAAGGCGGCCTCCTGGGTGCCAGCACTGCCCACGTCTGCCCGGGCCCTGGCCGCTCTCAGCAGGGCACCCTTCCTCTGGGGCAGGCTGGGGAGGCAGGTGACCCAGGGACGTGGTCTGCCCTCCTCTTGGCCTCCGGGCCAATCACAGCTCCAAGTCTGGGCCACAACTTGTCACTGACCTGACAACAAAGTTGACTTATTATAAAAAACAGAAACCAACCTGGAGAAGAAGGCATATTCGTGCCACCTGGAGAATAACAGCGGTGATGACAAACAAGGTGCTGGCACCCACGGGCTCAGGCTCTGGGAGCTGTCAGGGCATAATTTGCATGCTAAATACAATATTTTTAGCACCAAAGTTTGGAGCACTTAACTTGCCCTGAACACTTAATTATGGACTCTGATCTTCTCCCTGAACCGGAATGTAGTGCGGAGTCCCAGAGCGGTTCCTGTCCCCAGGAGCCCCCCGGGGCCAGAAGGTGAGCAAGCCTGCCCGAGTCTAGCTCAGGGCGGGGGCAGCCCCGACCCGGTGACCACCGGCTGGGGGGCTGTAAGACCTCCAAGGGGGTGAGAGACGCAGGACGCCTCTCAGCACACCACGCGCAGCCTGGATGGGCGCTTAGAAGCCCATCCGGTGGATGAAATCTTGAGAGACCCAACGGATTTACCAACTGTGGGAACCGGGAGACATGACAAAGGGAACAAGACGAGAGCAGAAGCAGGGAGGGAAGCGGGAAAACTGCCGACCCCTGCGCAGCTCGCAGCTCGAGCAGCGCTGACAGGGAGACGAGGGGAAGAGGGCAGGCAGGGGCGGGAGGCGGGGCAGGGGAAAGTTGCCCACAGTTGTCATGAGGCTTCAAGTCTTTCTGCCAGACAGCAGATTGACAGCTAGAGTGGGCAGGGGGAGGGCTGGGCTCCACCCCCACCCCCCTCAGTACTTGGGGGCAAACGAATGGGAGGTGTGGGACCCAGGAATGAGAGGCAGAAGGGGGTGGCCCCGGCTCTGGCTTGCTCCCCAAGGGCCCTGACTGGGGCCCTTTCGCCTTGAAAGGCCAAGCCGGCTGCAGCCCTCTGACTTCCTGACCTTTCTCCAGAGAATGTCTTTTAATCAAGGGATCACTCCTCTGCCTCTCCAGCAGGAGGAGTTGGCAGCTCAGCCCTCCCCAGCACGCGGCAGGGAAGCTCCGGCCTGGAGGGAGCCTTCCAGGTCAGGCACCGAGCAGCACTTGGCATGTCACCTCAGATGCCCCATTTGACTGCAAGTTTCAAAGTGTCAGGCCCTTATTCTTCCCCTAATGGGCTCTAGAGGATTCCCGGGTGACCTGGGCTAGGGAGAGGAGCTGGGAATTGAGAAACTGAGGAGGGGAGGCACAATGGCTTCATTCCTCCAGCCGACCACCCAGCTCAGTGAATACTGACTGGGCACGCTTGTGCTCCAGGCCCTGAGTAAGGGGCTGGGAATAAAAGAAGGCGGACATGATTCTTCTTTCTCAGCATTAATCCAACTATCACATGGTAGCGGCAAAAGCTCCATGACCCCATGACCCCAGCCCAGGGCACCAGGTGACGGTGGTGATGGATGCAGAGCCTCAACAAGTCCCTCAAGTCAGCAGGAATCAGTGAGGGCAACCCTGATGGCCGGGAGGGCTGGCGTGACTGCCCTCTCTGCCTCCCTGGTAGGCTCAGAACAGGCACATTCAATTGCCATCAACCAGGACACGGAGCGGTGGCTGGCCCAGGGGGTGTATTTTTTTCCTTCCCATCTATCTGGGATCACTGCGCACACTGCCTGGCCCGGCCCTGTACCTACTGCCTCCCTGCCTGGACCCCAGGACCAGGCAGCGTCTGTGGCATTAGTTCCCGTCCATGTACCTTGTGATCTTGTGCTCTCATAATCCTTGAGGGTCTGCGATCCCCGTCATGGAGACTTGTCCAGGGAGGGTGGGTGGCAGGGCTGCTCCCCGCACCTGGGTCTTCTAACTACATCTATAGCGTCCACTCCACCAGCTTCCCAACCAGCCCTGAGTGAAGCGGAAGGAGGGCAGGAGATGAGCAACAGGAGAGAAAGGAAAACCACTGGGAACAGACTGTCAGGATACTGCCGTGGGGGCTGTGGCCTCCAATAGCCAGAGATGAGTGGCAGGACTCAGCAGGGGCATGGGCATTCATGGGGTAACGTAACAGTGCTGGGAGGCCAGAGCCTTGGCATCCATGTCCCTGAGTGTCCCCTCCTGCCAATCAGGTGCCCTGACTCTCAGGTGCTGGTGGGGAGAGAGCAGACCATCTCTGGAGGGAGAGACCCACTTGGCTTAGTGGGGAGACTAGGGCACCTGGAAAGAACAGCTTTCCCATCCCAGCTCTACTTGGCAAATCCAGCAGGGTGGGCACTGAAGGGCAGAATCCCACCCTGGAGGCTTCTGGAGAGGTCTTATACCACTAGGCAAAGCTGCAGCCGTTCCAGGTCCATAGGACGCCTTTACCTGTCTGAGGCAGGGCAGGGTTCAGTGCCAGCAGGTCCAACCCTCTCCTGGTGAAGACGTAGCCAACTGGCCATTGCTGGCACTGAACCCTCTGCTCTTGGGTGACCAGGTAATACAGTCTGGACAGTCCTCTCGGCACAACCCACTAGCGGGGCTGCCCTAGAGCTGAGCTGACAGTAGTTTAGGTCAAGTCACAAGAGGTCACAGCTCACACCAAGGCCACTAAGGGATTCACTTCTCCCATCCAAGGGCAGCAAAGGAAAATAGGCAGCTGCTCCATAAAGCAGCCTTGTCAAAAGGCCCTGAGCACAAAAGGGGGTTGTCTGGGCCCCATTCCAAGAGACCATTCCTCTTATTTAGGAGAAACTGCAGGAATTGCATGTGCTGAGAACTTACTGCTTTGCCCTTTGACCCAGGGTCATCTGATTTAGTAATTACAAGGCAGTAAGAGAAGCAAGATCGGTGTTAGCTGATGCAACCAAGGCTGAGTTTTGGCAACCCAAGGCCACACAAGGGTAGACGCACAGCCAGGGTTTGCAGCGAGGTGGGCCTGGCTTCAAAGTCCGTGGTCTTCTCCACCTGGCCTCCTGTACCCCCAGCAGTTTCCACTGGATGGCCCTGTTCTAATGACCCCACAGCCCCAGAGGGCGCTTCAACTACAACAGGGGGAAATGGGTGCGAAGTGGACTTGCAGAAGGGGAAGAGAGGTTCGACTTGGACCTCTGGAGTTTCAGGGTTCCACATGACCTTCCCGGGGAGATGCCAGTAGGAAGTTGGGGAATGCTTAGCCTCTTTCACCCCACTTGCCTCCAAACAGGCTTTGAAAGTGAAGTAGCGACTCTCCCCTTGGGAACTTTAGGGATTTCACTAAAATCCAAGTCGAAACATCCCAGGGCATCTCTTGTAGGGTTCTAAAGTAGATGTGTGGGTTTGTGTCTATACCTGGCAAGGGGTGTTTGAAAAAGGAAGATGGTACTGGAAGGCACTGAAGGGGCCATGTTGGCCAGAGCTTGCCTGTGATTGGGCCATGAGTGAGGTGAGGAAGGATGGAGGAAGCTCTCAGGCTCCCAGCCTTGATGCTGGCGTCATCTGAGTGGAAGTGATTCCTAGGGGGACTCCTGTCCACATCTCCATGGGACCCGACCTTTGATAGGAAAATGTGTCCTTCCTTTGAGTCTTCCTCAAACCAGACCCTGTGGTTGACACCTGGCTCACCTCCTGACTGAGCTGCACCCACCTGGCTGGGAACACGTAGCCCCACATCCTGCTCTCTGGATCTGGAAGAATCCTAGAGTCGGAGACTTGGACTTCAGGGCACAAGGAGAAGCAAACGGCACTGTGCCCCTGCCCCTTCACTCTTCTGGTTCTGGCACCTTCAGGAAAGACGGAACTCTCAGGGGTGTTTTTAACTGCAAGTCTTGCCTAAGGCCTAGCCTCACAGCGAACAGCAACACAGAGCCAGGCAGCTGGCCGGGGTGGGAGGATGGCCCAGTCTGCTGGGTGGCCTCCAGGCACTCAGGTGTCCCACACTTCCTAACTGGAGAGGGAAAGACCCTCCCCCTGGGCTGCCACTCAATGACTCTTCAGGGCCTTACTGAAGATGGACACAGAGTGAAACCATGGGACGCCCCCTGGTGGCTGTTCTCAGCCCTGCTCCCCGCCCAACACCAGGTGCTACCTGGAGTCAAGGGTAGGACCAGATAGTTAAAGCCCCCCACCCCCACCTTTACCCAGGTTCTAGCTTACAGGCTTGATCATCGCTGTTCTAGCCCAGTGCTGCTCCGGGGCGCTTCGTGGTGGCTGTAGGCTGTGGCTTGGTGGGGTCAAGTGTCCAAGGCCCTAGACACTGGCCCGACAATCCAGAGGCCACAGGATGGGACACGCACTGCTGCCAGCTCTGCCAGAACGGACTCAAGCCCTTGTATTTTACCTGGGGCAGCAGGTTTCCCCTGCCCTGCCCTCACCCCACACTGATTTGAGGGTGCAGACTGGGGTGTCTGCCCAGCCCAGGAGGACTATGCCAAAGGATGGCTGGGGGTGGGAACCAGTGAGTAGTTGGAGCAAAGTTCCTTCTCTCAGACAACTGCAAAATGTCCTTGAGTGGAGGGGCTGCTCCAGTGTGGAGAGGGGTGCTCCCATCCTGCCCCTCCCCCCCAGGAAATGGCCCCTTGGCTAGAAGGGAAGGAAAAGCAGGAGTTGCTGAGCCAGGGCCCCATCATGCAAAGTCACTGTGAGCAGGCCCAGCCCTGCCCCAACCTGCTCCACAACCAGCAGGACAGGCCAGCGGATGGGCAGCTGGGGTGCGGCCACAGGAGAGCACTTCCGAGGTGCTGCTGAGGAGGAAAGACCTTGCTCTGTGAGCTCCCACCCCTCCAGCCGCCTACCCCCACCCATCTGCCTCTGCCTCCTCCCAGCCAGTGAACTATCTCACACGTATTACACCCAGCCACACCCCACACTCTGCCCCAATATTCAACTTGGCCCCACAGTCACTCCATCTCTGAAGGGGTGACTCAGATCCACGATTTATTGACTCTGAGGTCTGAACCTGGCCATTCAAGGAGACACAAGGAGGGTGGGCAGGGGAGACCGGAATGGAGCATCCCATACAGACTCACCTGAGGGCAATGGAGTGTTCCCTGCCTTCACCCCCCGCAGACCGTTGGGGAGACCCAGGTTATCAGGGCCAGGGCCACCAGGAAGGAGCAATCTGTGGCACCAGGAGCTATAAAGAGGGGGGAGGAATTTCTTCCAAACTTTTAGCCTTTAAACAAAGTCCATGTGGCGGCTCTCAGGCCCAGTCCAGGTAAGGGGCCGAGTAGCACAGACCAGAGCTGGGAGGGCGCATTCAACCAGGCCTCCCTTCACCTCTAGAGGGGATTCCTAGGATGGAAGGCCACTTGGGCAAGTGGCAGAAGTCTTGGGGAGAAGGGGAATTCCCCTGAGTCCAGGTACAGGGGAGGCAGCCAGGGGCTGCCGGAGATTCCCTCGGAGGCGGCGCTGAATGCGGTCGACCAGTGGCGGTCGGAGCTCCCCAGCTCCAGCCTCGGAAGTGTCTCTGCCCCACTGTCCCCCTAGAGCCCAGGCTCCTGTTCCTCTGAAGGTCAAAGGGACAGGTGGGAAGTACAGGTGGGAAAAGTACCTTCCCAGAAGCCTGGCTTCGCTGCCACCAAGCCCTCCCTTGTCCTCCAGGAAGGCGACCCCTGGCGTCTACACTTCTGTCTGGGCTCCAGACTCAGCACCGTCCAAAATGGCCACTGAAGTTTCCTTGCCCTCAAGGAAAGCGACAATGCTCTGCCTGTGGCTCCGGAGGGCCAGCTGCAGGGGGGTGCAGCCCACCCCATCCTGGGTATCCAGCTGGGCACCAGCTCTGACCAGCACTTTGAGGATGGCCATGTTGCCCTTGAGGGCAGCCAGGTGGGCAGGCGTCCAGCCCACCTTGTTGCGGGCACGGACATCCGCATGGTGCTCCAGGAGGTGGATGACGCTCAGGAAGGCACCCCTCTGGACTGCCAGGTGGAGGGGGGTCCAGCCCGACTGCTCGGCCACATTGGGGTCTGCACCGCACCGCAGCAGTGCTGACACTACCACCTCCTCCCCGTGGCGGGCGGCCAGGTGTAGCGGGGTCCAGTCCATGCTTCCGGGGGCCCCCAGGGCTGCGTGGCTCTCCGCCAGCAGGTGGATGACCTCCAGGTGGCCCTTGTAAACCGCGAGGTGCAGGGGCGTCCAGCCCTGCTGGGTGGGCAGCTCCAGGCCGGCGCCGTGCCTAAGCAGCATCTTGCAGATGAGGAACTTGCCCCTGGCGGCGGCGGTGTGCAGGGGGCTGTAGCCGCTCTGGTCGAGGGCGTTGGGCGCCGCCCCGCTCTTGAGCAGGTGCTGAATGGCTCTTACTTTCCCCCGCTCCACCGCCAGGTGCAGAGGGGTCCTCAGGTTCCGCTGCTGAGCATCCAACTCCGCCCCCTGGCTCGTCAGCAGCTTGACCAGGCTGACGTGGCCAAAGTAGGCGGCCACGTGGAGGGGGGTTTTGCCCTCCGCCTCCTGCAGGTTGGGGTCAGCCTGCCGAGAGACCAGAAGCCTTGCCACATTCTCGAAGTTGTTCTGTGCGGCCAGGTGGAGGGGGGTCCAGCCCTCATGCTCCTGGGCATCTACGTGGGCCCCGTGGTCCAGGAGCAGGCGGGCCGTCCGGTCATCCCCGTTCTGGGCGGCAAAGTGCAGCGGGGCCCAGCCGTCCTCATCCGCCAGGTTGGGGTCAGCCCCGTGCTCCAGGAGCAGGGCGCAGAGGTCGGGCTGCTGGTCCTGGGCCGCGATGAGTAGAGGCGTGTAGCCACAGGCCGTTTGGCAGTCCACGTCCACCTCGTGGGCCAGCAGCAGCCTCACCTGCTCCACGCTGCCCTGTGCCACCAGGAAGTGCAGGGGCAAGACCTTGTTCTCGTAGAGGCACAGCTCCTCCTCGCTTGGCACCGGGCTCGCGGTGTCGGACAGCTGCAGGAGCCGCTTCCAGCATTCTCCCGAGTCTGCTGGGAGGAAGAAGGGGTTGGGAAGAGACCTCTGACTTGGCCAGCAGTGCCCTGACCATCTCTCTGCCTCCTGAACTTGTCATGCAGAAACTTCCTGCCACCTAGATCTCCTCGCAGCCTGAGTCCCAGGGGACTGGCTGGCACGCCTTCCCGAGAGGACAGGGAAGATCCTGGCTCTACTCCTTAGCCTAGGGTGACCTCAGCCAATTCACTGCCCCTGAGCCTCTGTAGAGGGCAAAGCTCTCAGAGCAGTGCCTGGCACCCAGGAAGTAAATGCAAGTTGACAGAGAACTGGTGGTGGAGCTGTGATCAGAACAAGCGCCCACTGCCCTTGCTCTACCCAGTGTGGTAATAGAATTAGAAGCTCCAAAGATTAAATATATTAATCACCACTCAGGTCCCCCTGCAGAGATTCTGATTTAATTAGTCTGGGGTGTGGTTCAGGCCTGGGTATTTTTTCATACCTTCCTCAAGTAATCCCAACCTACAGCTGGGCTGAAAGCCCAGCTCCCTTCCCACCAGGCAGGGCGGGGTCCCACCTGGCTAGAGCACAGACTTGAAAGAAAAGCAGAGTCAGGACGTCCGGGAGTAGAGGCAGGAAGGACACCCACTCCTCATGTGACAGGCCTAGGGAGGCAAGTGGGCCTGGGGCCAGGGTCAGGGAGGACAGGTGGCAGGAAAGGGGGTGGTGTGCATTTGCTGCAAGCTCTCTGGTTCCAGCTGTGCTCTCTGGACTCACCACTGTCTGTTAGCTCCTGGCTGACTTCTTCGTTGACCTGGGGTGAGAGGACCAGAAGACACAGGGGTGGGAGAGTCAGCTGGGTAGTGGGGATCTGTGCCATCCTCCACTCCCTCCCTCTCTCGAGTGCCCCTTTAACCTCCCAGACTCACATTCTGGCCTAGGAGACACCCCGCCCCACCATGGCATTCCTGCCACCAGCGATGTCAAGGGGAAAACCCTGGCTCAGGTCTTGACCTCCCCTTGGGCTGTGTGGCCCTGTGGATTCTTCTGGGAGCCCACCCTAGCCCAAACTGCTTCCTACATGAGGGGATGGACAGGATGGCAGAGTCGGGCTGGGGGGAGTGATGACGCTGAAGCCCACAGCCAGGTCTGCTCTGTAGGGCAGGGCCCACCCGTGTGAGAGATGATCCTACTCGAAGACGTGGGGCCACAGCCACTCCCAGCCCTTAGAGTAACTGTGCCAGAGGCAAAGCAGCCCCCCAGGAGGGCTGCCTGGCTTGGGGAGCATTGTGGGCTGGCTCTCAATCCCCATTTGCCCTCTCCGGGGGACACGTGCAGGGCCCCCCAGTGCAGCATCCTCAGTGCCTCCCCAAGGTCATGTCGAGCCCTGCACTCACCTCCCGGGGTTGGTGCAGAGACGGCTTGCAGGACACCTTCCTGGCCAGCGCCTCGCTTTCGGGGTCTGCCACAGGACTCTGCAGCAGGGACAGCAGCATGTCCGTCTCCACGGTGATATCTGCTCCATGAGGGAGAGGAAACTGCGGCAGGCCGGCAGCAGTTCCCCGAGTTACCCACCCTAAAACTTCCTGTGTGCCCGCCTGTGCTGACAGATGCCTGTTGCTGCACACCAAGACTTGGGGCCCATCGTATTTGGCCGGGAAGCCTGTCCCAGCCTTGGCGCAGGGGCCACACGCAGCATGTCACTGTTGCTGCGAGGGTCGGTCCTTTCCATACAGGCGGCGGCAGGCCTGGGTCATCCGCACCATCTCACACGTGTTTTCATGGTCCCTAAAGGGCTGTCTGACCTCCAGTTCCAAGTGAGCCGGCGCTGTCCAGGCTCGTGACAATGTGAGTGAGGACGTCGGAGGTGTCCTGAGAGGACCTGGTGAGCCACAGCAGCCAGGGGCCCCCTCCTGCGAGTGACACAGGCGACCAGCCGGCTTTCCTTAGCCGCCCTGCTGCCAGGGCCTTCCTCCCAGTGCCGTGACGCAGATCCTGCCCCAGCCCCACGCATGGCAGGTCTCTGTGCAGAGTCCTCGGGAGTGGCCTGGCCAAAATCATCTCCTCTCTGCACCCTAGTGCTGCCCAACTTCCCAATCTCCCAGCAGTTCAGGTCGCATGAGAACCTGAAAAGCATGGTCTCTTCTTGGGGTCCTGATCCCAGCAGCGCCTCATCAGATCCACCATCTGCTGGGTCTCGTCGGGCCACTCACTGGACACAGACTGCAGAGGGGGGCGTACGCCTGAGGCCACGCGGATAATGATGGTCATCATGCTGACACCTGCGAGAGGAGGCCCAGCCATGTTGGCGCTGGGAGGGGGGCTCTGAGGATCCCCAGAGGGTGGTGGACACTGCCGGGCCCAACAGATCAGAGTGAGCAAATGGCTAGACTGCAGGCCAGCCTGAGGCGCTGATTTGAGCAGCGGAGTCTCCGGTCCAGCTCAGCTGCCTCCCAGGCCAAGACCCGACATGGCCCCACACTGCAGGTCTGTGATGCACAAAGGCAGCCTAGCCATGGCTCTGCCCTTCAACTTGGTGGGGGCATCTGGGTTTCCTGAGTCTATTTACATCTAGATAGGACCTGGCATCTGGGGGGGGGGGGAGAGGAAGGGGCAGTAAAGAGCACTTTAGCAGCAAAGGAGCCAGAAAAGAGGCCCAGTTTGGCTTTGCCCTTCCCTCCTATTATGTGGGTGCTAAAAAGTGGGGGAAAGGCAGGAGAGGAAAGGATGGGAACCCCTGAAGAGAAGATGGCTCCCCAACAAACCTGCCACTTACTCTGACCCCAGGAACATTCAGCCCCCCACCACAGCCCCTTCCAGGTCCCCATCTGAGGATGCCACTGCTGCCTGCTACCTGAATATGGTTTCTTCTGAGTCAGCAGCTCCCAGATGACAATCCCGAAGCTGCAGACAGGGGAGAGTACTCACAGTGACTTTCTTCAACAGTCACCCCAGCAAGGGGGCTCTACAATTCCAAGCAAAACCCTCTCCCAAGCCCTCCCCACTGTCAGGGAGGTACCAGACCTCATCTCCTTCCTGCTTTGCCTGGGCCGGTGGTGACAGTAAGCTGCCTCGTGGGTGTGTGGCCTGGAGTCCAGCTTCTCTCACCTGTACACATCGTATTTGGGCCCGGGGGCCTTGTTGCTCTCCAGGAACATCTCAGGGGGGATGTAGCTGAGGGTGCCCCGCAGAGCGGACCTCTCGATATACTGCCTCCGGGTAGACTGTTCCATCCACTTGGACAGACCAAAGTCAGAAATCTGAGAGGAGGGAGAGGGTAACCATCAAGTTCTGTCCCCAGACAGCTGCCTTGGTGGCACACCTGTCTTGGCTCTTCCAGTGCGGTGTGGCAGAGGAGAGCTCCCAGCTCCAGCATGCACTGCTGGGACATCCTGGATAAGTTACTTATCCTCGCAGAGCCTCTATGTCCTCATCTATACAATGGAAATAATGAGCACTTGCCTCATAGTGCTATTATGGGGGTACAGTGCTATTATGCATTAAATGGGGGTAACATGCAAAAAAGCACAGGGAACAGCACCCGACACCTGGTAGCCACAGGTGCAGCCATCAGCTGGAGAGACCATGGGTAGAGCTGCTGTCTCCTGAGCTTCTGTTGATTCCACCTCCGTGGGCCTCCAGGAATGGAACCATGTTTACTGCTCTCCCTGTTTCCACCCATCGATTCATTCACACACCAACCACCTATTTACTAAGCGCTAAGGCCAGGTACTGAGGTTCAGGCACCAGATCAGCAAGATGAGACTTCTCTCCCAATTACCTTTATAAGCACTTATTCAAGTGGGGGATAGTCATTAATGAAATCATTTCACAAGTGACTAAGGGTTAACAATATCAAGAGACAGAGGTACCATGAGGGTATCTAACATAGCCTTATTGGAATGGATCAAGGAAGACCTGTGGTGCTCTGGTCAGGGCTTGAAGAGGACCAGGCCTTTGCTAGAGAAAGAGGAGCGTGGGGAACACTGTTTCTGGGAACACACTGTGCAAGGGTCCTGTGGCATAGTTTAGGAACTGAAACAAGTGACAGTCACGACCCTTCTTGGAGATTACCTCATTTACACACGTCTGCCCACAGCAAAGAATGGGAGGGATGGGGCTTACGCTGCCAACGGAAGCTGATACCCAGCTTCATGGACTCGCTGCTCTGTTTTAGGTATGGTCCCTGCCTGTAGTAGGTGTCCATAAAGGGAGCTGGTTAACTCTTGCTAGGCCAGTCAGGCAGGCAGATATCCACCTCACCTGGAAGGAAAGAGAGCACGGGGTGACCAGGGCCCTTACCTTGATGTGCATATTGCTGTCCAGGAGAATGTTGCCGGGCTTGAGGTCCAGGTGGAGCAGAGGTGGCTTAATGCTGTGGAGGAAGTTCATGGCCAAACTGGTCTCATGGATGATGCGGAACTTGAGCTGCCAGCAGAGGCTATGGGTAGGCAGCATCTTCTCCAGGGAGCCATTGGCCATGAACTCCATCACAATGCCCAAGGGCTGCTTGCATACCCCATAGATGGACACGATGTGCTGAAACTTGACCTTCTCCATTTTGGCTGCTTCTTCAATGAGGCAATTCACATCGGAGCTAAGCAAAGGGAGGGGACCTATTAAGAACTAGCACAGCTGGAAGCACACACAAACAAGACTTGGTGCTAGGTGGGTGGGGGTCGGGAGTGGGGTGCCCAGGGAGGCCTCATGAAGAAGGGAAGACTTGAAAGGATGCCCAGATTAGGGTCCAGATGGCCAGCAGCCACAGACAAGTCTTGAGATTAGAAACAAATCCATTCTACAGAGGTGGTGACAGAAAGCCGGTCACGTGACTTTACCGCCCCCAGTAAATCGCAAAACCCTCTGGGACAAATATTATGCCTTATGCTAGCACCACTGACTGCTGTTTGGATCATGAAAGTAATACAGGTATCTTACAGGGGATGCAGAGAATTATAAAGAAGAAAATCAATCATTAGTAATCCAACCTTTCAGAGTTGGCCTCTGTTAATATTTTAGTATCGTTTTTTATGGTATGTTTTCAAGGTGTTGTTCTTTCCTTCCCTTCCTGCTTCCCTTCCTCTCTTTCTATCCCACAGTGAGGAAATGCAGCACGAGCACTTCCCCACACTTACTCTGCAACAGCTGCATGGTATTCCATTTTATGGATGAAATGTAATTATTCCTCTTTGCACTCCCCGCAGCATGCTGCCATGCGCAACACAGCCCATCTTTGTTGAATTGAACAGGAGACACCAGGGAACGCCTCACAAAGCAAGCATTTCCACCCCCTTGCACTGTTCACTGCATGTGTCCACAGAAGAGTAAATATGCAAAACTGGTATAGATTGTGTGGGGACTGCTAGGAGGACATTTTTAAAAGTGCGGTATTTGCAAAGCTGTGTTTGCAGCAGGAGGGTGCAGCACATGTGCTCGCGGGGCCTCCCCAGGACATCAGCAGACTGCCTGCCTCCCTCGCATCAAGGATTCTCCACTTCTCGCCTTGACTTCTCCAGTCTCCCCGCCCCTCTGCACGTCTTTTTGAATTCATAGGTGCGGAGAAGAGAACTGTCAGGAAGTGGAAGCTGGGGGTGTATTGACCAGTTTCATCAAATCACAGTTTTACCACTTATTCTTCTTTGCATAACTTTGAGTAAATTCTCTGGGCCTCAGTTTTCTAACCGCAAAGCGGGAACAAGTGTACTTGCACAGTGCCCGCTGTCTCTCCCCTTTCCTCACCTCCCGCCATCCCCTTCTACCCGGTTTCTGATCTCAATACTTGGTGGGACACCTACTGCTAAGGTCTCTAATGACCCCCATGCTGCTACAGCCTACAAGCAATTTTCAGTTCTGGCTTTGTGATTCAAATCCCTCATTCCTTTTGTCCCAAAACATCCCCTTACATCAGCTGTGTCATAATGTTCTCCTCATTTCTCCGTCTTTCCGGGCAGTTCCCGTCTGCTTCCTTTATAGATTCCTAGTCTGCCGCCTGATCACTAATCCTGGTCCCATGCCCGCTTTCCTCCAGTTCAGTGCCTACAGCGTGACTCCTAAAGGCTCCCTGGCGCCAGCACTTCCGCCCTTAGCCATCCTCGTCTCAGGGAACGGGGCCTCCCACCTTCTAGTCCTCAAATATATTGACACCAGACTTCACTCTTCTCTTCCTCTCCCACACCAGGTCCTTGGCACCTCCTGTCAGCTCTACCTTCAAAATGCAGTAAGAAACCAAGCGTTCTCACCGTCTCCACTCACTAGTGGCTTGGCCCGGGCCTCCTAACTTGCCTCTGTGCTGCTTCTCCTTTCCACCCTCTATTCTCTACCGAAAACTCAGGGCTACTCAAAAAATATCAGGGAGCATATCACTGCTTAGTCTTTGCTGACTCTCGGTCATAGTTCAAGACAACATTCCTAGAATGGCCTTCGGAGTCCTAGATGCGTTGCCTGTGAGAACAACTTCTGGACTTGTCTAACTGTCACTCCCTTCCCTCATTCAGCTCCAGCCTCTTGCTGTTCCTCCATCAAGTCAAGAATGTTCCACCTCAGGACCTCTGCACCTGCTGCCTTCTCCACTTAGAAACACTCCTCCTTAAGAGAGCCATGTGGCTTGCTCCTTCTTGGCTTCAAATCCCGACTCAAATGGCACTTCATTAGTAAGGCTTTTAGGTCTCTATAAAATAGAAACCCTACCACAACTCTGGCAATCCTCGCCCTATCACACAGATGATTCACAGATTCATATTCTGAGATGAAACATTTTCCTGGAAGATCATATCACTCATCTCTTCTTTTAAGGAAAAAAAAGGTCAGGTCATTGTAAACCCTATAGATAAAAATATGGATATATATGTAAATGTATTGTCTGTCTTCCTCCATTAGATTCTAAATTCCACGAGGGCAGGGCCTTTCTTTTGTTCACTTAGTGCTTAGAGTGACTGAATGTCATCTGTGTCAATTACCTTCAATTACCGCTTAGGACAAAAACTCACAAGTTTAAACTTTGTTAGCTCACATCTTCATTCTGAGATCTACTTGATAGTTCTTCATGGCTATTTAAAGTCACCTTAAAATATGTACAAACTGAACTCATGATTGTACTCTCCAAACCTGGGTCTCTTTTCAAAATGTGCCATTTATTAATTTGCAACATCATCACTCAACAAATATTTATTAAACAACCACTATGTGCCAGGCACTGGGGATAGAGCAGTGAGCAAAAGAGATTTCACTCACATGGATTATACAGTCTAATGGATCCTCTGTTCCTTTGGGCAAGTCAGACATCAAATTAACCTTGACATTCCTCTTCCTCACTGTGTCTTCCACAGCCAATTTACCCCCTAATTACTGCCTCATCTATCCCTTTCCCTCTGTTACCAACACACCATTTTAGGCTCTGATCATCTGATTTGGATGATGACAAGTTTCCTAACTGGGCCGGTAGCTACTCTTTCCTTCCAATCCATCTTCCAACTACAAATCTGATGAATTCCTGTCACTACTACCCAAGCCTGGCTGCAAACCCTTTCATGGTTTTCCACGGCTTCTTCACTCCCTCAATAGCCCTTTCCCCAACCCTTTACTTACTATGCCCCTCCTACCACAGGACCTTTGCACATTCTGTTGTCTCTTCCTGGAAAACTCTCCTTTTTACTTCAGTGCATACTTATCCTTCACATTTCAGGTCAAGGTAACTTCCTCAAGGAAGCCTTTTCTGGTCTTGGTTAAATTCTCTATTGACAAGCTCTTACAGAACCATAAATCTTTCCTTTCCTGCACCTGTCACAGTAACACTTTTACATTTAAATGTAGGCTTATCTTATGACTGTCTGTGTCTCTCCAGGCTGTGAGTCCAGGAGAACACCCTCCACTGCACTCGTCACTATCTCTCAGGCTCTGACATGGTGCCTGGCACATACAGAAGGGGCGATAAACATTTGTGAAGCGGATGAATAAATGAGATGGAAGGAGGATCTAGTCAAGTGATGCATGCAAAGCTCCTATTCTAGAACTCCACACATAGTAGGCATTCATTACCATTAAATCCCTTTGCCCTTCCCACCCAGGGAGTTCCCAGAACTTGGGGAAGGAAAGTGACGGGAGTTATTGTTAACTAACAGTGTCGTCTTGGCCATGCCATCTGTTTCCTTTTACTCTTCAAAGATGGAAAATAATTTGGGCAATTCTGAGAATAGTCTGACTCTACTCTAAAGCCAACAGGCAGAAGTTGGAGGAGGAAGGTGGGTGAGTCAGGGCTGTCCCACCTCGTCCCTTTTCATGAAATGAACTGGGTGGGGGATGTGGAAATTAAAGAACTGGCTTGACTTGTGGGACTTGTAGCTGGGTCTTGGGGGACTTGCATGCTGACCACAGAGAACAGGACAAACAGCATCCAAACAAGAGGCCAACAGGAGATGTGCCTCTACAAGTCCTTGCCCCAGGAGCCTTGGAAGGAGGATACGGTTTTGTGAGCAGACTTCACATTCCAAGTGTCTCTTTCAGGGATGCCAGGGGGGCAAGTGCATGGCCAGTACAAGCAAGTCAGGTGGGATGAGCCCAGAGCGCATCGCAGTAGGAAGCAGAGAGGAATGCCAATGGGGGAAGGAGGAAGAATAAAAAGGAGGCATGTTAAGGGTGGCACAGTGGCTACGAAGAGAGTTGGGGATGACCCAGAGACCAAAACAAGGCTAGAGATTGCAGTGTTTCAGGCTGGGCCTTCCTGTGGGAGCTGTGTGACAGCTGGATTGGCTCTCGGGCTGAGAGGCTGGGCAGCCTCTGTGCCCCGCACCTATACTGGGCCAGGGGCCAGCTGGCCATGGCAGGGGAGGATGAGGCACCTCACAGGTCACTGGGCATCTCTAAGCCATGTGCTACAGCCCCTCAGGAAGCAGGGATTTGGGGATGGCTGGGAGGGTGGGAGAGAGCCCTCAAGAGCAGTCATCCTAAGCCTGACACACAGAAACAAGAAGGTGGGACCAGTCTGGGAGGTCAGATGAACAAAGCTGGCTTTGGAAAGTAATTTCTGCCCTCCTGACCTCCACAGATTCCACAAACGGGCCTGATGTGCCAATTGCATTTCAGCTAAGGGCACAAACAGGCGCTCAGGTCATGGAAACAAACTCAGGAAACAAACCTCTGCCTCCACCTAGCCTCCCCTCCCTCGGGAGTCCCTAGGTCTCAGTTTCTCCTCTGACAGGAGAGGGGCAGGGCTTCAGGTACCTGGTAGAGTCAGGAAGGAGGCAGGGGGAGCATTTGATGGCATAATCAGTCCTCCAGCGCTTGTGCCGCGCCTGGAACACCTGGCCAAAGCCACCACTGGCCACGCGGCGCCAATCACCCTCGAAGTCATCGCGGGTGAAGACTGTAAGGCTGCCCAGCCTCTGCTCCACGCCCGTGGCCACGGCCATGAGGTCGGTGCAGTCCCGGATCCGCCAGCCCCAAGCACTCTGAGCAGGCTGCACCCAGGAGGCTGGCAGCCAACCCGCCCCTTCCTGCTCTCAGTCCCAGGAGGGTGGGGATGGGGAGGAAGCATCCTGTCCTCCCTCCTCCTGTGAGGAGGAGCTGATCCTGCCCTAAGAGGCAGAGGTGGGGAAAACCCAACCTGAGCTCCCAGGTCCCATGCAGCAGTGAGGACCTGACCTGGGGAGAGGACATGTTCCTTCTGGTGCACCCTGCAGGACACCACATGCACAGCATGCAACCTCTGCAGTCCCACCCTGGGCTCCCCCAGCTCTCATGCCAGAACCTAGGCAGGTGCTGGGAGAGAAAGGTATACAGAAGTTAGAAGCAGGAGTCTGATCAGTCTCGTTCAGACCCAGCTCCCAGTGCAAGTTGATTTCTTTACTCACACAACTCATATGTACCAGGGATGATGAAAGGTCAGTGACTGTACCAGGGCGTCTCAGGTTGAATGTGGGGCCTGGAACCCACCACCCCCACAGCAAGAATGGAGTTGAACACCTTGAGGTACAATTTTCTGATCTAGATCTACTGGCCTGGTTGGCTTAAAGCTTCCTTTGTTGTTGCTGGGTTTGTCAGCTGGTTCTTGGGGCCTTGGTAAAGTCAAGTCCCCAGGAGGAATCAGCAGGAACAGGGGGTGAGAGGCTGGACACTTGCCTGCAGGTAGTTCCACTTCTTGCAGCTGCTCTCTGTCCCAACCTCAGCGGGACTGGCACCTGGTTTGGAGTTGACCATGGGGGAGGTAGACTCTTTGGCCCAGTTCCTGGGAGTGGTTTTTTTGCTGGGTACCAGAGACAAGATTTCAGGGAACAGCTGAGCATGCCTAGGGCCCTACCTGCTGAGGAGGGGTGGCCTGGGACAGGGTAATGGGGATCAGTGGGACAGTGCAGAGCAGCATCATTGGTACAGTCAAGAAATATGGCCTGAGGGCTCTTTGCAGAGACTGAGCCAGCAGAGGAGATAATGTACCTGGCAAAGGCAAACATGATGCTGGACAGAGAGAAGCAGTTAGTCACTGACAGAGGCAGGGGTGTGCCCCAGAAGAGCAAGGGGAGCGATCAGAATAACACCCCTTCCTCTCTGAACTTCCTGCTTCCTTCCTCTTTCCTGGCATCCCGTGTATGGTCCCTTTTCTCATGTCTGAGGATGCAAGGCAGGAGGAAGGAAAGCCTCCTAGTGTTCAGCATAGGGGTGCTCTGGGTACTTCACACTGGGACTTGTCCCATCACCTCAGAGATGCAGGGACATTGTAAGCGCTTGATCAGCTGGGTCCCCCGGGGCATTCCAGGGCAGGTGCTGGGGAGGAGCTGTCACAAGGCAGGTTGCTGCTCACTTGCAGTCAGGCAGGTGGGCTGAAGTCTTCAGGCACCCCCTCAGTGGCCATCCTCAAGAGGCCACTGACCAGAGGAGGAAATGCCTGGCCTTTGAACTAAACCTGTAGAGCCCAGCACCCAAGCTCCTAGCAGACTCCCAGGGAACAGCGTGGGCACCAGACCTGAGCAGATGTCAGGGGAAACTAGGAAACTTATTCTTTCCATAACAATTGACATGCAGTCCCAGGATGAATCGTGGCAAACATGGCTGAACTGCTGAGAGTTGTCAAAGGAAGCAATGACAGCCACCATTAATGCAGCACTGACTTTCAGAATCTGTAGCTACTTTACCTACTGTACTTACTTTGCAGACATAATCTTGCTTAGATCCAAGACAATGGTGAGGTCAGCACTTCTCTCTTTGCAGATGAGGGAACTGGGCAGGAAGACAAAAAGTAGCAAAGACTAGTAAGTGCTAGTTAAGAGTCACACCTAGGTCTCTGGTTCCTGTAGAGAAGGACTGGACACAGGAGAAGAAAGGGGTAGTCTTTTAGGAATTTGGGTGTGGTCATTGGAATAGAGTCATGTTTCCTGGAAGAAACTGGGCTGATGGCACCTTCATCTGGAGCAGGAGACGTATCCCAAGAACTCAGTGGAAAGGTAAACAGCCCTCTGGTTTTGTGAAAAGTTCATTCAAGCCCAGATCGCAAACCATCAACATGATCTGCCTAGGCTGCTGCAGGAAATACCAGGCTTGAGTGGCCTAAACCATTGAGAAGGGGAACAAGAAACCAGAAGCTGCCACTGGCCAGGTGCAGAGACCACGGCAGGAATGCTGAGGCACCCTCCCTGTGGGAGGGAACACCCAGGGAGCAAGGCAGGCTGCCAGGGTCTCAAATAAAACTCCTTTGTGAGTTTCTCTACAGAGGTGGAGGGAGAAGGACATGTAGCACTCAGGATGTGTTACTGTTGACCTACCTGTTGCAATAGCCAAGCTGTAGTTTCAAGCACCCACGAGGCTTCTGGAAGAATCTGGCAAAAGAGATTTATGCAAATAATTACAGTGGCTGCAGTCATTTGATAGAGTTCCTACTGCTCCTTCTTTCGCTAAAATAAGCCAGGACAAAAATAGTAGCCGTTGGGTAAGCTGTGGGAGAAGTTACAAAGCGAAGGGACCTTCCTGAGTGCCTCACAGAGGTAAAGGGCTTTTCTATCTGTCATTGTAAGTGGGGAATCTGGGCAAAAGCAAGGTCAGCAACACAGGAGCTATTGATTTCTTCCCAATGGCCTGACTGCAGAAGTCCTAGCCCTACTTGGCTGGGAAGTTTACAGCCAGGGAGTAGAAAGTAGAGAGCTGGAAAGGAAGAGTCTACCTTCAGTGCACGCTCCTACCAGGAATGGGAATGGACAGGAATGAATGGGACCAATTATGAATGCATAGGAATGGGTAGGAATGAATGAGGTATAGTTTGTTCACAACCCAAACTCACCAGAAGGGTTAAGAAATGTGTTCTAGCCATAGGAATTCTGCCCCAAATTGCTCTGACCCTATCCTATTGACTCCTCTAATAATTTGTTTTGGTAGATTGGGGAAGGAAATTTTCTGGACTTGGAATTATCAAATGATTTTGTGTGCGACTGTTTTGGGGGAGCCTACAAATTTTCAGTTGCCACCCTCAGACTAGTGAGCAGTTCTGTAATACTCTGGAAGATGCTGAAATTCAATGTGAGTCTTTCCTCAAACCAGAATGACAAGCTTTTTGCATACAGGGAAGTTCCCCAATCTGTATCCATTCTCCACCCTGCAAACATGTCACAGGAGGACCTGGACAAGTCCTGGCAGCTTGCAACCTCTGGTCGCCAGTGCACTGAGGCGAGGGCAAGGCTGGTGAAGATGAAGGAATGTGAGCAGGAAAATGGGAAGGGAACACCTGCCCAAGGATCAAAGCTCTTCCAGAGAGAAAGGGAATGAACGAGGCAGCAGGAGCAGGGATTAAATGCAAGAGCATGCAAATCAGTTAAATCTGCATTCAAACTTTAGCTTTTTCCCTCCATTTAGCAGCTCCTGGGCCTTGGCCACATTACGAAATCTCTCTGGATTTCTCTATCTGTTAATGGGATGATAATATAGTTCCCATTTTTAAAGAGCATGAAGAAATCCCAAGGAGGGAGAGAAAAGGGCACTGGGTTAGAATAACTGATGCAGAAGATGATGGGAGGAAGCTAACTAGCTTCCTCTCGGGCTCAACAATCTCCCAGGTGATTTGACCAGATAAACTGGTCTCGAGTGATATAACTATATAGAATTATATCCAATTAGCCAAATTCAAAATAGTCATACAGAGAAAGCCTGAAAAAAAAATCAACTTGCCATTCTTGGAATCATTTCAGGGGCTCTATCTGCTCAGCACACCCCTTTGTGGGAGTGTGTTCCAGCTGTTGAGATGAGCTGCAGACTCATGTGGGTGGGTGGGCTCAAAAAAGCTCGGGAAGGGGGCCCGGCATAGCTCTGCTGGTTTGTTTCTACCTGGGCACATGGATGGCTCCTGAGTACTTCAGAAACCTTACCCTGCACAAGGCCAAGGTAGAATGTAGAAGCATGGGGCCTCCCCGGTGGCGCAGCGGTTGAGCGCTGGGTTGCGAAGCTGCCCGCGGCCTCTGTGGCGCCGGTTCGATCCCCGGCTGCTCCCTGGCCACCGGAGGAGGGTCCCACATGGCGCGCAGACCTCTCCTGCCGCCCGCTGCTCCCCTCAGCAGTGTACTTCGTCATTCTGCCTGCTCTGCTCCCTGCTCTGGCTCTGGTGAATTCTCTCATCCTCCCACGCTTCTGACTGTACCCAGTGCTTGTATAAATAAATAAAATAAAATAAAAATTAAAAAAAAAAAGAACGTAGAAGCACGATGGAGAATGAAGTAAACCTAGAATGGAGTTAAGAAGTGTTTCTGCATTTGGCATCCCCTGTGTATGGTCCCTTTTCTCATGTCTAAGGATGCAAGGCAGGAGGAAGGAAAACCTCCTAGTGTTCAGCCTAGGGGTGCTCTGGATACTTCTTTCCCCCTAACATGGGGAGCCCCTTGAGGGGCTTTTAATAAAAACTATCTTAAGTGTTAAGAGGTCAGAAGTTGAAGCCCCATGTTTTAGGAAGCACAGTTCCCAATGTCAGAATGTGGCCTCAAATTCATGGGCCTTGGGTTGGGAATAAGAAGCGAATGTCCCAGGAATCCTGTCACCTCAGAAGAAATACCAAGACTTCACCAGGACTTGACCTTGTGAGGTGTGGAGCACAGCACTGAATCCAAGAGGTCAAGGTCATTATCTTCTCTAGCAGTTAAGGAGTTACACAGGCAGTGAGAATTTAACTACACAGTGGTCAGCGGAGAGATGTGAAGAAATTACCTGTGACTCCCTTCAGTGGGGACCTGGAGGGAAAATACTCCGCAGATGCCAACTGTGAGAAAGGTCAGGGTTCAGTGTTTGTCTGGGGACATGCCAGCCGCCTCTGTCCTCTGAGCCGGTGCAGGATGGGCGTGAGGCAGGAAGAGCTGGGCTAGGGAAGTACCTGAGCATGAAAAGCAGTTTCTCAGGTTGTGTGACAGAAAGCTCAGCGAGCCTGCGAACTCTGTAGGAAAAGAAGGTGACTTGTAAGCTATGACTGATTTCATGTTTTTTATAATTAGTTTGTATCTATTTTCTATTGTCCTTACTATTCTTTGGGGGTAGGAAATTGTCAGACTACCTTGGACACAGTCAAAGAAACCAGGGGAAAAGCCTGCTTTTTAAAAAATCAGCTTGTTTAGGTGGTTGTCAAGAATACAACTCTTAGAAGTCTAGACTAGAATCCTATGTGGTGGGACAGGAGTCTTAGTCTCACTGGTTCACAGCTGTGTCTTCAGCACTTGGCACAGAAGAGGGAGCTTGTGTAGTATCTGATGTCTAATGGCTGAATGAATGAATGAATGAATGAAAGGGAAGGAGAAACTCAGGGGCTATAACTTGGCAGTCCCTCCCACCTTTCTCCAGGGTCTTCCCTAGTTGGAGGGAGCCCTCCCTTCCCTCACAATGAGCACTTTTTGCCCCACCCAGGGGGCCAAACAGCTGAGACCTGCAGCATCTAAGCTTCCCCGAAGTTCAGCACCTGTGACACCATGGACTCCTTTCCCCAGGAAAGAGCACTCCCAGAGTCTTCACCATTTCCTCCTCTATTCAGATTCCTTATGATCGTTTAACATGCTTTGTACATATTTTTACAAATACAGCATTGCAAGCCAAGGGCTTTTCTGATGGAGGGAAAAAAAAATGCATTGAGAAGCTTTAGGGACCAAAGCATTAAAACCTGTTATTAGTGAGTCTTTGCTTTATGCCTCCATCTGGAGTGATCAACCTGCCTTATCTCACTTAATCCAATCCTCTGAGGTACATAGTGTAACTATTTCCATTTTCACAGACTTAAAGGAGCTAAGTAACTTGCCTGTGGTCATGCAGTCGGTAATTAGATGCTCCGGGATTTGAACCTGGCCTGCCTCTTGCCAAGGCATGCTCTTAATACTAAAATATGGCCAGAAGAGACTGGCTCAAATCAAATGTGAGGTACTCAGCTTGGGGCTGAGGTGTGGTGGTGGGGTCATGGCTGGAGAGATGGGACCCCTTGAGCACTGATCAACTCTAGGCGTTTGTGACATTCCCATCCTCTGCTGATCCTTCAGGCAAGTGTAAGGGTGGCTGAGCTGGTACTGAAAGCCCAGCTTTGACTAATATTCCACACACCAGCTGTGCCCAAGGCTAAAAGATATCTTTGGAAGCTGCGCCTATAGAAAGGTCCGTATTAGCTCCATCAAATTTGGCTTCTGGAGAAACTTCAGGATGACTTAGTCACTGTGGAAATGTTTCTTTGTCTCTCTTTTCTTGTTTGGAAAGAAAGCAGTGTGTCCTTGGGACTGTCAAAACCCTTTACCACCACCGTAGGAGCAAAGTCATAAATATGCAAGCTGTCATTTAAATGACCTTGGCTGGGAAGTGGCTGGATGTAATGACAGGCCCTGGGCTCCCTGCACCAGCAGGATCTGGAAATCAGAGTGCCTATTTTCGCAGAGTGTGACCAGCCCTCCTCAGGCGCACCAAACCTCCTCCAAAGTGTCCCCCAGATCAGGTAGGAAGGTAATCCTGAGCAATGGGGAGAGCTGCATTGTTATCTAACAGACTACTGATGGATTAGCAGGGCTTTCAGATAAAACCTTCTAGGGGTTAGAATTTCATTTCCCCTTCACACTCAGAGAGCAGAGATGAACTGGCTACTTTACTATGCTGCAGTTTGGACCAGAAAATTAACGCGAGAGACAGGGCTGGGCAGTGAAGTTCAAGGGCATGGTTGGGTTCCAGTCCTGGCTCATTCATGATTTCCTTGGGAAAGTCTGGACAAGACATTGAGTCTCTAGGCCTCTTTCCTTGGCTTCAAATGGGAAATAATAGCATCTCTCTGACAGGGGTGTCACTCACCTGAAATGAGAGCAGGGATGTGACTGTCCTTTGAAGAAGTTAAAAGTACTCGTCTGTAGAGCCTGTTACCATCACCCCGCAGGTTCTGCCTGCAACCCCAGGATCATCTGGTGGGACCTTTGAAGGAAGGCATTTGGACTGCATTTGCTCAGAGGCAGCATAAAGGAGGGAAGTCTTCCCTTCCACACTGTGGATATTATGAGAATCATGGTAGTGGCCACATACTTCTCTGAGGTCTGGAGGTCCCAGGGGCTTGGAAGCCAGCTGAGATGTCTAATACCACTGAAGTGCTTCTTACTCCATCATGTTGCCCCTCTACCCCCCCAAACCACCATGATTCCCACCCACTATCCTCCAGCCAGCCCTCCACTTCTGTAGGTCAGCCTGCATGCCTGAAGATGATGAACTTGGAAGTCCACTACCTTCAGGTAGATGCTGATCCTTCCAGTCATAATAAAAATCCTCATATCCAAAAACTTCTAGACAGAGAACATCTGGACGGCCAGGCAGGGGCATCTATGGGAGCAGCCAACTCAAGTGTAACATCAACAGTAGCCACCATTTCCTGAAGGCCTACAGTGTGCCCCAAATGGTACTGAGAGCTTTACAGAAATCCTCTCATTTCATCCTGTGACAAAACCATGAAGTAGGGACCAGACCTCACCCCACTCTTTGTCGACAAGGCAATTGAGGGGCTCAGACATGCACTGAGTTGTCAAAATTACTAAAGTTGGAGCTGGGTCCTGATCCCTGGCATGAGGGTGCTCCCACCAGCACTGTGGTCCCTACTTTCACTGCTTTCCAGAGTCATTCTCAAGTCCCTGCACTTCTCTGGATTCTCGTTTCAGAGTTCCCTCTCTAGAGGACAGCTTATCTGGCCTTTCAGAGTCTTGATTTCCTTGTTGGTAAGATAGGGTTGAGGGTGGGCTACACACTTTTAAGCAGTGAATTGTATTTAGCAATAAACGAATTCCAATAAAGCAGATACCGGATTAGCTGGCAACCTGAGTATTCCAGCTTGGACATTCTAAGAGCATTTGTTCTAACATTTCTGTCTTGCTGTGCCTTTGATCTAACCTAAATACCCACTGCATATGAACTCACCCATTTTTACGTGGAAACTTATCTCCCCACTGCAGAGATGAACTTGGAGTGTACAAGTGGACTTGCTGCTTGAGGGAAAATGAGCAGATGGAGCTGCAAAGATTAAAGTCACAAATGTGAAGCTGGGGACGGGCATGTGACAAGGGAGGAGGTCCTCAGGTTGCGCTGAACTGGCACATGTCACGCTCACACTGAACAAATCCCTTCAACTCACTGGTGACGAGGGCAGAGTTGAGGTTGGGGGGTACAGAAGATGGCAAATGAGGGAGCTGGAAAAGCAGATCAGCGGTCTGATTCCTGGCTCTGAGGGCACCCAAGAGCCCCCACCCCACTCCCTGCCAGATGGACACCCAGAGCAGCTGGCAAAATCCGATCCTGGCCTGAGATAATATCAGACCAAGGGGCAGAATGCTTCTAGGTAGAATTTACTTTCATTTTGCAGGTTTGAAATTGAGATCAAATTCAAGGTCTTGCTTAAAAATGTCATCCAGCAGGCTTCAGATCACAGCTCAGGCCTCCCTGACACCCAGCAGCAGTAGGCCTGGGACCTATGGGAGATGCCAGTCAACCTGTCTGTCCTGCTGTTCCTGAGGCCTATTTTCTGGTGTACTAGGGAGGGTGCAGCTGGCTGATAAAGGACTGACAATATCCTGCTGAATGTACTTGGAGTTGCACTCCTGGGAATCAAGACTTTCCTAATTCTAAACAATCAATTAATAAAAAGAAACAGGGCACTTTTGTTTGGGAGGGGACTCTGGGGCACCCATCTTAGCACCCAGGGCCCTTCCTGGTCAGGGTTTCTAACTCACTGCTCATGGGTTCTGCCCATGTACCTGCAGCTGGGCCTCAGCCCCACACTGAGGAACCTTGGTGTGCTCAGACACCCGCCCTGCAGGCCTGGCATCTGCAGGCTTGCTGTCTGGAAGGGGGAATGAGAAGCAGGCCACCGGCCAACAGCTGGGTCTTCAGAGAGCCTCATGGCTGCCGCTGGGTGCAAGAGAGGGGGAGAGGCAAATATTACAGCAAACAACTGCTTGCCTTCATGGAGATAGAGTATGTAGGAGACGAGCATGTGGGTGAGGATGGGAGCAGCAGGTAATGAGTTCATGGTCATTTCTGACCTGGAAAAAAAAAAAAAATCACCGTTAGGTAAATGCATTTTGTCAGTTACCTATGCCAGGTACTTCATAGAAATTATATCGAAACCTCAGAGTAGAGACAATGTTTCTGTTTTTTAGGGAGAAAACTGAGGCTCGGAGAAATTAGATGACTTTCCCTGGTGCCACAGGAATTAAAACCCAAGCTGGGGTCAGATTTTGACTTTTACTTACTGGCTGTGTGTACCTGGGTAAGATGTACTTACTGTCTTTATGTCTTTGTTTCTTTTCCCATAAAGTGGAGATAATACCTACCTCTCTGGGTCCTTGTGAGACATGTATGGGCAGGACCTTTAGGCATTTAATACAGTGCCCAGTATGGGAAGACACTGATGGGCAGATGAGTTCTCTGCACGCTGTTCCTCCAGCCCACAAGGAACAAGAGTGAATTCTAAGTGTTTTCTTCACTAATTATTTTCTCCTCTTACTGAGTCTTTAACTTCAAGACACATAAGAAAATAAGACTTTTGAAAAAGTCAGGGAGGACTGTCACCTAGCCTCAGGAGTCTTCCAGGTAATTCACTCAGTTCTCCACACTGCCAGGTTCCTGTTTTAGCTGCTTATAACAATACATCTGACCTGCTGCATGTCTCAAATTTAACCTCAATCCTGTCTGCTTCCTCTAGAAATGTCACTGTCACACGGTCCAGGAAGGCACATGGTCACAAGGCCTAGACACCTGTTTACCACCTGTTACCTAACAGCTGCTGTGGTTTGGATGGTGACAAAGCTCCACCTTGGCCATATCCTGTTCAGGATGGTCAGTCTTAACTCGTTTGTCAGTGAAAGCAGCAGACTGCTTTTCCGGAATCACCTGTGTCCTGAGGGTGAGGAGGATGGTGCCAGTCGCTCTGGGCACATGGAAACCCTTCCTCAACAGGTACAGGAAGTCCTCAAGTGACATCCTCTGTTAAGTTCTTAAAAAATGCGATTTTAAGTGAAATAAACCAATTTTACTTGAAGATAGTTGATACAAACAAGAGCTAAGTTTCTAAAGCATATTTCTTGTCACAAAGATATTACCAAACTTTTGAATGAAGACCCCAAGCAGTTTTAATATGGAACATTCATTTATATTCATTCATTCATTCTTCCAACTCACTTATTCCATTTCAGGCTTGTGGGAGGCCAGAGTCTTACTGGCAGCTCTGGGCTAAAGGCGGGACAACTGAGACATGCCCATGAACCTGACATGCACATCTTTGGGGTGGGGGAAGAAATTGGAGTCTTCAGAGAAAACCCAGGCAGACATGGAAGAACGTGACTGCTTCAGACAAAGACTCTGACCCTGGCCCTGGAGAGACCTTTTTTTCTCTCACCAACCTTGTAAAGAAATGACACTGAATGAAACCACCTACCACTTTATCCGAGGAACGGCTGTTGCTTTTCCCCACGCTGCCAGGAAGCGCTGCATGTTAGCCTGTGTTAGAGGGAGCAAGGTTAAGAAGGCAGGCTGCCCGGGGAGATGGAGAACACCAGTACATAAAATCTCTCTCCACCAGTGAGACGGGGGAGCCGCAGTGCAGCCACAGCCTCCTGCAAAGCAGAGATTACCACCTCACATACCTTGAAACAATGATACTATCAAGTTGACATTCCCGACTCTTTGGGGGAAGAGATTACATGCATAATAACCATTTTCCAGCGCCAGGGAAGAGGAGTACAGACAGTCAGTGGGAGGAGGGGCCTGAGTCTCAAATCAGAGGCAACAGACCTGTGCGTTATGTACACAGGTAGACGTTTCCATTTTTATAGCTCCACTGAATTCCCTCCCAAAACAGCAAATTCTGCAGCCTCTAATTTTCCTCTTTGTGCAGTTCCGCGTCAGGCCATCTCCCTTTTCAATTCAGCAGCCTCTTGAGGGGTGTGTGTGCGCACAGCAGGACTGAGGGGGCAGATGGCAGCCTCTCCACTGCAGCCACAGAGGGCTTGGCCCCAGGGACAGTGCTCTGGCACCAGCAGAGAGTCTTCCCAGCTACTCCAGCCCCTCTCAGTACACTCAAAAGTGAGGGTCCATTTCTTACTTTCTTCCCAGTCTCCAAAGTTAGTGTGGCTTCAGGAGCAAAGTTCTTAATTTGAGGACCACCTCACCACAAGAACAGTTTCTTTGGGTGTGATGAGTAAAATCTCCCAGAAGATGATTTCTTATCCTCTGCTCCAGAAAATGTCCAGCTCTGATTCCGTAAAGGACACATGCTGTGCTTTTTCAGTCCCTCAAATTTAACCCAACTGACATCATTGACAACCCCTCCACCTCAAGATAGAAAGTGGTTATCACTTATATTTGTTTAATACTTCATAATTCCCAAAGTGTTTTCACCAAAAAAAACTTTTAAAAGTCAAACTAAAATCTTCATAGCAACGTAGGAGACAGACTGGACAGGTATTATTGTAGCTTTACCAGAAGCAGCAATAAAAGCTCAGAATGGTTGACAGACTTGCTCAAAGTCACACCGCTGCCAGGGTGCAGAGAAGGAACACCAGTCTTTGGGACTTTGGTCCCAAAAGTCCTAGCAGCTGGCTAGGCCTCAGGAAGCTGCCGCCCCTGCTGGTGCCACTGAATTTGGCTCTGGGCACTCCAGGACTGGACAATGGACACCAAGATACCCCAGTTGGAAAACCTGATGTTTCTAGAGTATTGCTGGAAGAAAACAGTAAAAGGGCAGGATGGCGTTAGTTTTACCGAATCTGGTTCCCATCTAGAGGTGTTGCTTACAAATGAGTCTGGGAAATGTAGTTTTGTTTGTTGGTTGCCTGCCTCTGTGGAACAGCAAGGGCCTTAGGAGGCTGGGATGGGCATTGAGCAGGCCAGTGCAGTGCTACCCCAGCAGCTGGTCTGCTGCCCATCTCCTCTCTCATCACCAGTGGAAACCAACAGGGCAGACTCACTGGGAAATCAATGCAATTCGAGTGGACATTTTTAAAGTCTTTATTAATATAGGAAAAACCCATGGCATACAGTGGTGTGTTGTAAAAATGCACACAGATCCCACGCCTCTCAGGAATCACTGATGTACTTCGTGGTCGAGTGGAGGATTTCTAACCCATGAAGCTGTCTCAGTTGATCAGCAAACCTGTCATAATCAGAACACAAACCCCAGGACATAAATGCCAGGGCCCAGCCTTTGATGCACAGAGTAAACCCCCTCAGATGGAAGCTGGAATGGGCAGGGCTGTAGAAAGAGGGCCCAAAAGATCCCAATGACAAGGCCCTCAGGAGGGCACAGAAAACACTGCAAACGCTCTCGCTATAAGTAGAAGACATGACAGGCTGAGTGACATGACCTGCTCTCAGGAACTCCCTAGCAGGTTGCCCCTTTGAACCTGTCCTAGCTAATGTGCCTCATTCCTTCTGCTGGAACAATCAGACACAACATGAAAGGGCCCAGGCCAATCCTCACTCCACAGAGGAAGATCAGGTGTGCAGCTAGCCCCTGCCCACAAAGGACCCTCACCCACGCCAGGGTTCCACCACTCCAACACAGGCAGGCCCTGCACAGGAGCACAGGAGGCAGATGCCCATACACAGGGCATAGGACCAGAGCAAATGGGAATCTGAGCTCAAAGAGATGAGCCGCAGTTACAGCAAAGCTCTCTAGCCCTGTTGAGTGGCTGATACACTTCACATTTCTCTTCAGTTTTTTTCCAGCCAGCCAGAGTCCCCTCGCTGGGTATTCTCTCATATGCTTATTACGCCACGGACAAATAATGGAGAGGGAGGTCTGTTTCTGGAAAAGCAGAGAAGACAGAAAGGGAGAGGAGGCGAGAAGTGTGAGAGGGTGAGTAAGGGAAGGGCAGAGGAAAATGAGGGCATGGGAAGGAGAGATGGTCCTGGTAGTAAATGCTCAGAAGAAATCCTTGTCACATCAACGGATTGACTCTAAGGTCAGAGCAAGACAGACGCCCAGTTTCCCCAAAGCAGGCTTCCTCCAAACAAGCAGCTACTGGGACCCAAACCTGTCTGCACACAGGCACTAGGGCTCCGCTCGTGGAATTCTGTCAGCGCAATGTCCCAGCCACAGCCCAGCTGGTCCTGCCACCCTCATACCTGGGCTCCACGGTGCATAGCTTCCCCAGGGCGATGCCTGCATTCAGCTGCACATCCGTCTTCTGTGAGTCATTGCCTGCCTGCTTCAACAAGACCTGCACGATGTCCGTCTTTAGCAGAGTGGCCGAGGCTTGCGGCACCTCCATGCAGTTCCCCAGACACAGGGCGGCATTGCCCACCAGGATCTCATCCTCTGAGCTGAGCAGCTTCATCAAGATGCTGAACTCTACAAGATAGGAGGATAGGCATGGCCTCTGCCAGTTCCTTATAGGAGGTCACAGGAAGGTGTCACTGGCTGTCAGGCTTCTCCAGAAACTCTGAGGAAGGACGTGTCCTGCACTCATTCAACAGATCTTGAGTGCTAAGAACCTCCTCAGGGCCTCCCTGATGGCACAGCAGTTGAGAGTTGGGCTGAGAAGCTGCCCACAGCCTCTGCAGCACCGGTTCGATCCCCGGCCTCAGGGCGAGGGTCCCGCGTGGCGTGCAGACCTCTCCTGCCGCCCACTACTCCCCTCAGCAGTGTACTTCATCAGTCTGCCTGTTCTGTTCCCTGCTCTGGCTCTAGTGAATTCTCTCACCCTCCCGTGCCTCTGACTGTACCCAGTGCTTATATAAATAAATAAATAAATCTTAAAACAAAACAAAACAAAACAAAAAATAACCTCCTCAGCCCTTGGCTATGCCTTAGCTCTCTCAGGAGCAGTGCCTGGCATGGCATAAAGGTGGTGTGGACGAAGGCCATGCACAGACAGGTCTCTCTTGTCTGAAGACCTCTCTGTTCTGACCTCTATGCTCCATCTGCCAACCTCTGTTGGGAGACCCAGCTGTAACCTGGACAGAGGACAAGTAATAGGGTCCAAAATGTTCCTACTTCTGCCGTGGGGTCCTGCTCAGGGCACATCCTGTGTGTCCCAGATGAGGAGTTCAAGAGAACACTTGCAGGCTGCCTTGGCTGGAAACCCTGCTACCATGACTGAAATGAAGCTCAGACTCAGATTTTCCTTGTTCACAAAAGGATGAAGCAATTTTCCCCTCATGAAGAAAGAGGACTAGGGTTAGGTCACTCTAAGTATGCTTTAGAAACAATTTCAATTTATTTGGTGAGAGGAGAGAGTTCCTGTCTCCGACCCTGCTCTACCTGAGCTGTTCCAAGGTCAAGTCTCCAGTGTAGGCATCCACCTGTGTGCAGCTCAACACTAAATTTTATGCTTTCAGAACCAGAAATAAGCTGACATCTTATTCTGCTGATGCCTAGGGTGGGGTTAACAGCATTATGCTAACTCTACCCTATCTTCTCACCCAGAGTGCCCTGTGCATCTTCAAGGATATAAGTAACTTCTGGGAGGTGGGCTCCACTTAGTGAAACTGTCACTTACTTTTATCCAGTCTTATCACTTCTTCTCGTGCTTCGTGAAAACTATTAGTGCAGATAGCTAGCGTCTTCACAGCATAACGTGACGCGGTCTGGCCTCCTGTCTAGATTTGAGAATGAATTAGAAAAATAAAGTCAATCTTGTGATTGTTCTTGGTCAGAAACCACAGTAAGCAGCTCTGACTGTGCTAGGGGCTCCCTGAATTTCTAAAGAACAAGTGTGTGCTTTCAGGCCTTGTTCCCACCAGGAGGGCATTACTCAGTCTCCAATATAGCCCACAATCTGCCAGAAATGCTGGCCTGTCACGTACACCTGAGTAATTACCTGTGCAAGGCTCTATGCGTGAGTGGTAAGAGAACAACTGGCAAATCTACCAAAAAGGGAGGAAAGGGCCCTCTCGTGTCTACCATTTGAGAATGATGGGTGACTCGCTAAGGCTGACAGGCCTGCATGGAAAACATCACGAACCCAGATCATTTTAAGAGGTGACAACTATCAAATCTTAACACTTAAAAAGTACCCAACACGGGTCTTTAAGCTGCACGTGTGCATGCTAACGCATCTGTGTACACACAACACGTGTGCGTGCATGCAAGGGACAGGCTCTGGTGTGTATGGCGAGAATCCTTACCCACGTGGCAACCTAAATTCAGACGCCCTGTCCTGCCCCTCATTGCCCTAGCCCAGCAGCAGCTCCTAGTGGAGCCAGCTTCCTAGCCCACTCAGCCTGGGGTTTTATGAGTAAGCCTCCTGTGGAGCTGCCGTGCTGTCATGGTGAGTGTGTCTCGCTAGGCATGTACAGCACAGGCAGGATGGAGAGATGCAACCTAAATTATTCGCCTTGCTGGCTCAGGGGAATGGAGTGAGCTGGTGTGCTGCCTCACTTACATTCACTGCACTTGGGTCCTGGGGAAAGCTCCCAAACACCCCTTGTTCTGCAACCTACATCTCTCGTATAGAGTTACTTCCAAGATTCTCCAGATAACCGGGCAGAGCACTGTGAGTGGGAAACCTGAGCAAAAGAATGGCCTCAGAAACCTTGCTGAGGGTCACTTGGACCATCATTTTCAAGGACAGCGGCCACATATTTTTAAGTGAGGCTTGAGTGGGAAGTGGGTCATCTAGATTTATCTGACCAACATCTAGATTTATCAAGAGAGACTCCTCAGTCAAGTTTAAAATCTAGCAGGGCTGAAACAGCAGCACATTGACTAAACAAAACTCCCTTAATTCTGTTCTCCCGATAACACATGACACTCCTGAAAATTCCAGTTCTTGTAACTAGTAAGAGGTTACCTTCAGGAACTTCATCATTTTCTTTACCACTCCTGCCCTCACAGCCTCCTCAACAATTTTCAGAGAGGAAGGAAGGGTGCGGCTCAGCACACCAGCAGCTCTCTGAGTGAAGCAGAATATAAAGAATGATTATATGCTCTTTTCAGAAATGCTGACGACCCTTCAAAGTATTAGGCAAACAATCATAAGTACTGAAAGCAAAAGATGCACCTTGATTTTAAAATTACCTAATGGTCAAGGAAAAGAGGGCAAACACCGCTTTTCAATAAAGGTGCTGGGTAAGGGATTAAAGCACGGGGTCTTGGTGGGCAGAGGCCCAGCTGACATCAACTTACACAGGACCAACCAGCTCAACCCTGGGAAAGTCCTGCCCTAGATCTCCTGTGGTGCTGTTTTCAGCTGGCCCAACAGATGTTTCACTCCCTAGGGTGATCCTCTGGGTCTTCGAGCTTCTCTATCTTTTCTGCATCTCTGTCTTTTGTTCTAATCCTAGGAGACTTCAATTACTTTATTTTGCAGTTCTGACTTTTTTTTTTTTTTAATATTCTGAATTGTTACTGTTATGGATATAACACAATGCTGGAATCTTTCTGAAACAAATGACAGTTATTTTTCTTCTGTTTTCTGTGTCATCTTTGTTTCTTCTGGGTCAAATTTTCTCTTTATCTTAGCTTTTCCATTTTTGTGTACAGCTTTTCTGAAAAGTCTGGTGACCCTTAGGTGCCCATCAACATTTCAGAACAAAGCAATCAGAGTATGTTTGGGTGTGCTATGTCAACTGGCAGGTGGAGAGGGGACACCCCCAAATACCACAAAGCTAAATGGTCTTGTTAGGGCTTTTACCTCCTTTAGAGAAAACAAAGTCATGGGAGGAACGCCTGGCAATCAGGTGCAGGCCCCCATTTCTTCCTTCCGCCCCCTGTTGCACCTGGTGTTCTGAAGTCTCCATTTTTTCCAGGGCACTGTAAGTCAAATCTGCACCTACGCTAAGGGTCCCACAGTCCTGCTGCATTACTCACCATTCTTCCAGTTATTCCCCATCTTCCAGAAACTGGTTAAAATTACTTGCCCACTAGTGGCCTCCTGCCTGTCCACTTTGTCAATGTTGGCTTTCATTCTCCTCGCCCCCCTCCCCATGCCTTTAGTCTCATATTAATGAGATCTCCTGAGGGGGAAGGGACAAACTTGTATATTATCAAATTGCTGATCTGCTTCCCACAGGTGCTAAGACGTTGCTCAGATGACACAGATCCCTTTTCAGGCCAGACAGAGGCGAGAGGGCGCTATCGAAGAAAGGACACCCCCAGCCAAACTGCTGCTTCATTAGCACCCAGATAGGATACATGCAGAGCCTTGGGAAAATCAGAATCTGGCTGAGAGAGTCCTTGATGGGTCAGCTTGAGTAGCGTAGGCCTAGCTTTAGGTCCAGCCCATGCAGAGAAGCCCAAGTTTTGAGAACAGTGGTGCTTATCACTTTTGGGGTCATTTTTCCTGAGGATCTGGTGAGAGCTATAAATCTCCTATCCCCAATGAAAAGAGACACACACTTAGAACTTCCTACACAACTGCAGGATTTCAGGAAACTCAAAGACCCATCCCACATTCCTGGAATCCTGCCCAAAAACCTTTACCCTGTGACAGCTGAACTGATTGTAGGGAAGCTGCAGGTATGCTAACTGCTAACAGGATATGCTACATCTGCTCAAAATTCTTGTTACATCCCTGGTACCAGGGCCCTGTCTGTGATCTTTAGGAGTTGATTTCCCAGACCTGCCCTGGATGTGACAAGCACTGTTTCTCTAGGTTTTAGGGTCTTGATCTAATAGGTAGAAAAGTTGAGGTGATCAAGAATGTGAGTGAAGGACACATCTTAGAATGATAGGCCATAGCCTCCTGAATCGTATTAATATTCTTCCTGGTGCACTGTTTTAAGTATAGGCCTTTCTCAGATTTCTTATCCAAATGTCACCAACAGGAGTAAGAATGCCATCCCAACGTGATTCTCTACCAGGGCTAAAATCATTATGTGTAAACAACCGCTAGGATAATTGGCTTCAAAATATGAGCCTGATTTTTTTTTGACTCTGGAAAAAAGATTCTAACTCAAATCACTTGGCCTGTACAATTTGCACAAGGGTATCTCAAGATAGGACAGATCTGAGAGATTCCATTGTATAAACTGCTAAGGTTCAGACAGTACAGAAAAGGGATTCTTAATTCTGGTTTCTTGTACTCTAGGAGGTCCACAGGTGGGCACTGTGTAGGGGTTACCAAACCTAGGCAAATCTGGTATTCATTTGCCAATAGGCAATGTTCTGTGGAGGATGTGCACCCTGCATCTTGGAGTCAGCAGATTCCAAAGGTCTGGTGACTTTGAAAGAGTACGATTCAATGCAGTGAAACAAAAGGCAAAACAGAACAAAGGAAGTTGCTTCTGGAATTCCCTGTGAGACACTTACTGTCAGGATTCCTCCATCCTGGCTGTTCAGTAGTGACATACACCTTCTGCTCACCTCCGCAGCCCACACCTACAACAGGAGGAGGAGGGGATTTGGGTGTCTTGGAATTCTCAGTGAAGCTTCTTCTGGGCACTCAAACACAATGCACCAAGGCTTCCTTCTCACACTGCCACTGCGTTTACATTTCCTTCACTACACCTTCTTCTATCACTCTTATTTCTTCTGCCTGCCTTCCCTTACTGTAGAACAACACCCTGAGAGTGGGGACCACTTTTGACATTGTAAGTCAGAACCCAGCACCATGCTCAGCAGTTTTCTGGATGAACGCCTGAGTAATGCATCTATCCCTCAGCAGAACAAAATGACAGAGTGCTTGTCTAGCTGTCCCCAGGCTTATGGCCTGTTCGAGTGCTTCTATTCTTTAGTGGCAGTGAGAAGAGCCCTATACAGCATAATGTGCTGCTGATGCTGTTCCTGGTGGGGTGACATGAATGCCCTACCTCAGAGACAAAGGTGGACTGAAGACACAAGTTCATCATGAGTCCCAGGAGCGCATATATGACCTCTCTGAACAAGTCCACATCCTCCTCACACCTGACCTTGGGAGACAAAACAAGGGAATCAATAAACTTTTTGGCTTGAAGCTTTCACTGTCATCTCCTCCCACTGGTAATGGTTTCAACATTACCCACACTTCCTAAATTGTCAATGTTGTGAACCTAAGTGGTGTCACAGGATCAGAGGCCAGATCCATGAGGTAATGTCAGTACAGGAGACTTGCAAGGAGTCCCCAATGCCTATGCCATGTGGTTGGCATGACTGGTCCTATGTTTAAACTGGAGAGAAAGCTGCTGAAATGGATGGTCAAGCCACCACCACCAGCATGTGCTTCTAGCTTCTCCAGGGTGAATGAGACTAATCTGCAGGAATCTTTAAGGGCAGTCACCAGTCATTAAATCTATGGTTATAGGAGGGGATCAGCCAGCCAGTGGCTCCAGCACCCTCAGAAATAGAAATTTTTTGAAAATCCAGATTATTAAGAAGCCAGTGCCCCCAAAATTGATAAAAGGTCAACTTTGACTACAAAAGCTAAAATACCATGAGGCCCAAACAGGCGTTTCCAAATTCTTCAGAGGTTGCCATCTGCTGTCTGGCAGCAGCCTCAGCACTGAGGTTTCCTATGATGGCAAGACACTGGCAAAAAGCTGAGGACTTGGTCACCTTGGGGTCTCTCTTCTAAAAGTGAATCAAGAGGAAGCAAATCAGCAGAGAGCAGGTAAATGAGGCAAAAGTAACCCTCACTCAACAAAATGCCTGGGAACCAAAGAGTATAATGTCACCTGGGGGTCCTGTGAGGGTTATCATGCTGGCTACAGAATGGAGGCACCCAGTGGGGTAGACCCCAGAGAGTCCCACCCTGGAATAGAGTGGCCTAGGGCTCAAACTCAGCAATGACACCAATCAGCTGGGAGAACCCAGGCAATCCCATCCCTTCTCAGAGCTCTGTTTGCATATCTGTGAAGTCCTGGTGTGAGGATGTGCTCTCTTGAGCCCCTGAAACTTCTGACTCACTGGGACCAGGGTCTAGTCACAACATGTTTCCCCAGGAGTACCCCAACTCTTGTTATTTTCTGTCTTATAAGCTCAAACCACCACCTGCCCACCACTTAGGGGAAGAGCTGCCCACAGTACTTTTAATGGGACTCAGAGTCAGTAGGGGGCTGATGGAGACCAACAATCTCTCTCCTGCAGCCCTGGATGCAGGACACATCCAGCTTTGTCTCCCCTGCCACCAGCCCCGTCCATATGCCATCGCCACCTGTCCCCACTGAGGCTGTTTAATAACGCAAATTGTGTAAATTCCAGCTGTGAATAAATGATTAATCAACCCAAGAGACAATAGGAGTTCTGGAGTATAAATCATGTCTAAACAGCTCCTGACAGTGTCTGCCCAGATGATAAGAATGAGGGTTTGCCCACCAGAATGCCTGTGAACACAGGGAGAACATCTGGAAGGTTGGCCTGGAACCAGACTTGGAACCTAGTGAGAAAACATGAGCCATGATTTATTCTACATTGCATAAACTGTAACATAAACACAGTGTCTTGGGAGCAGTCCTAAACTCTGGGTCATGTGATCTGCAGCATGTGTGGATGAGTCATTCTCAGAGCTCCCCTCCACTGCACCCAATGTCACTCACTGGGTTTGTAATGTGGCTTTAATTTTTCTAAGTCCGGAGAATTACTTTTGATATTAAACAAAACAGATCTCAGACGGCAGTTCTCTTATGCTAAAGTTGCTGGAATCCCTTAGCTTCTGCCAAAGTGACTCAGCACTACCTTGGCCATTGCTGAGTGTACATGCTGTGTGCTAAGGGCAAGCACATTGCCTCATCCGCCAGGAGGAGCACCTGATGCAGATCCATCTCCGTGACAGCTGGAACAGCTATCAAAATTTCTGGCCTGTGCAAGGGTCTAAGAACATGCATGGCTTTCTCTCATTTTATCATTTCTAAGCAATATACCCAGGAATTTATGAGGAAACTAAAAACCAACCAACTAACCCACTAAGATGTATTTTTTGAAAGGCAGAACTTAAGAATTAGACTATCTAAGACCTTTACTGTCTTCCTCAGTAGCTAAGCACTGCTCCCATCAGTGGGGGTGGTGACTACTGAGAATGCTACTGGCCACACTTTACTGAGCACTGTCCTTACTCAGGTCCATTCAACACACATTTGCTGGGGAGTTCCTATTAGCCACCTTTCCTGACCAGAGAGGTCATGTTTGAAAGATATTAAAGCTTCCACATCCATTGAGGACTGCCCCACACTGCACCCTCAGAGAGACTGGAAAGGCCAACCACAGCATCAAGGGAGGCATTCACCCTTCTGCACCATGAATCCTATGATGCTTAATTGGTCTGGCCTCCCGTATACTGCACGTTTTTTATTTATTTATTTATTTTTAGTATTTTTTTTTCTCAAGTGGGATACAGGCCAGAGTTGCGGGGGGTGGGGTGGGGGGGTGTGAGAAGATTCACCAGAGACAGGCAGATGTACCGAAATACACTGCTGAGGGGAGCAGCAGGCGAGACAGGAGAGGTCTGCTATGCCATGTGGATTGCTCCCCAGCCAGCCGGGGATGGAACTTGTGCTGCAAAGGCTGTGGAAAGCCTCAGAGCAATGCGTTTAACCCCCTGCATCACCAGGGAGGCCCTACTGCACATTTTTAAAGATCAGACAATTCAACAAAGATTGAATAGGAAACAACAATTTCTCACAATAAAAGTTACCTTTCTTCCAGAGTCAAGTCTGTGAGTAGTCCCATGGCTGAGTTGGCCTTCTTATCTGAGAAATCAAGAAATGATACCAGGGCTTCCAACAATCTGCAAAAATCCATAACAACCTCAGAGTGGGCTGTCCTCCAACTGACAGCATCCTAACAGGAGACCTTGTAAGGACACCAGGAAGGAGAAAAACTAACAGGGTGGTCTTGCCATACCCTCCTAGGAAGTCCAGAGCCTTGCCCACCTCACGAGACAGACCCTCTCCTAGGGGAATAGCTCACCGCTTAATGCCAATTCCCAGGGTTTTGGAAGTTTTAACCGAAGTTCATTTAGTGTACAGGTCAACTTGGACAGAGCTGGGCTGAGGAGGGCCTGCTATGCCCTGCTGCAGTGGGGTTGAGGAGACACTTGCCCCTTGTGTGTGTGCAGGCAGACTGTCGGGTCCCTCTGTCTCTGGACGAGGTCGCATTTTAATACAAGCTCCCAGGCAGTGCATTCTCAAGAGGAAAGCCCCCTGAGTCTCACAGGGAGTGGAGAGGCATTTCAGTGTTTTATCTAGGAAATAGCAGCACAGATGTGTGTGTTATACAAATCACTTTGGCAGCATGGTGGAGACTGGTTGGGAGCAGGTAGTAGAGGAGGCAGGGAATCTGATAAGGAAAAAGTAGGATTGTACAGACAAGGACCAAAGGATTGAGCTGAGGTAGGGACAGAAGTGTCATGAAGAAAGCGGCGCTCATAGAGACCTAGGAGATGACTAATGACACTGAAAAGCTCCAGAAGGAAAGGAATCCGGAAATGCTGAGGAAACAGAACGCACAATAATCGTATTATAGATGTGCAGAGGGGCTGTCAAGGGGAACTCTCAGCATCTGCCTCAGGTGATATGGTGGATGGAAATACTATCTTTGGAAACAGGTAATTCAGAGGGTCAGCTGGAAGAACCCCTCCTGGATTTATTAAGTTAGTGATACTCATGATGTTGAGATGGAGCTGTGGAGTGGCAGAACAAAGATTTCTTCCAGCACTTGAGAGACTTATACATGAGAATGAAGCCATGCATGAGAAGGACAATGGTAGGGTTCCAGGGTCTGTGACTTAGGAGGGTGACAACATAAGGGGGTTCACAAGGAAATCAGGGAAGGATGGTACCCTAGACAGCCATGGTTGTGGAGTTTGAGGAAGAGCACAGTTATCAATAGGCCCAAATGCCATCAGTAGTGAAGGAAGACAAAGACAGAGCCCACTGGGTCAGGTATGGATTCCAGTCACCTCTATCTACAGTGCTGGTTTTATTTAGCAGCTTGTTTAAGGAGGGACCAGAGGAATGGTCGAGGAAACTAGGAGGCCTAACCTGGAAATGGTCAGTCAGTACAGGTTAGTGCAAACACAGAAAGTGGGAGTCGATGAGTTATATTTGTAGACCTTCAACAGACTGAACTGAAGCCCCAGAGAAAGGAGGCAGAACTGTCCTAGAATGGAATGGGGCTAGCAGCTTGTATTCAGTGTAAAAAGATTTTATATTAATTAGAACTGTTCCCAAGAAGGATATTCTTGAGAGGAAACAGCTGCTCCTCTCATTAGCTGGAAAAAGACCCTCAGTCTATTAGCTGTTAGAGTACCACCCCAATCAAATGGAGAATGATATAACGAAAATGCTGGGATCCTCCTTGGAGGGCATCTGAGACACCACAGAGGGAAGCGGGATGCTGGATGGGGCTGGACTGTTGCAAAGGTACCAGGTAAACACCTGCTTCTTCTACAAATCCCCAGCCTTCTAAAGAGTGGATTCCAGGGCTCCTGCTGTCAGAAATCATTTATTTACAGTTAATTCAGATGCCTTCCTCACCAGTTTAAATGCTTTCTTCAGTCTTGAAGATGAATGCTAATGAATCTAAAGGGTTCAAAAGAGTCAGCAGTCTGAGATCATCTTAGTTTCTGCCCTGGGAGATATAACTTGACTCCCTCTCCATGTGATAAAATGCACATCCTAACTGGCTCACACCTGAAGAGGACAGGGTGTCACTTCCTACTCCCTCTCTTCTCTTTCGGTGGTATATCTTCTGCCTTGCTGACAAGCAGCTGCCCCTGTAGGCAGACCACAGGCTGGAAAATAGTCTAGTGTAACAAAAAATGTACTTCTGCCTCAGTTCAGGACCCTGAGCAACAGACCCAAAAGAGGGAAAATAACTGCAGACGTTATTAATGGGCCCATGCTAAGTGTCAGACATGAGAGCAGAGTTTCCTGTGGCGGATGTTGCTTGCAGGCTAACCCCATAGGCATCTGCTTTTCCCCTTCTGCCCTGCTCAACTCTGACAAAAGTTGGAACCACCTTCCCACCAGGGGGTGACACAACACCAACTAAAGAGAAATGAGTAATTTTGATAACAGGGACAGAGCCAATGAGTACTGACCTGTCTTTGAGGGGGACGTGATGCTTGCAATGGCAACAGCCTCCAGTGGCCAGGAGGGAAAGGTCAAGAGGTCGGAGATATTGACCCTGAATCTTTAAGCCACTGAATTGGCTGTTGCCATCTTTAGCCGTTTTCATTGTAAGAGAAAAACAAGACCACTTTCTCTTGGTCTTTTGTAAGCAGTAGCAGAAAGAATTTAACAGGCACGTACATACACCACCTCTCTAGGTTTCACTCTAAGTCTGTGATACAGAGAAGGCACTGGGGCTCATTGAGGTTTATTTTCCTGGGTCGCATAATCAGAAACCAGCAGAGATTGGGCTCAGGACTGCTTGAATTTAAAAAGCCAGCAGTTCCCACAAAGTGACACTGACCCTTGCCTGGTTCCTGTCAGTACATATTGGCCTCTTGAAACTTTTCATATAGGGAGAATTTTGAGAGGAGATGGTATGTGTGCTGCTCTGTGCAGATTGGGGCCCTGTGCAGCCAGTCCTGCTTCAAATCATCTTACTTCAGAGAATACACTCCATCTCTTTTCGGTTTATAGAGAGAAACAAGAATAGTAGGCCTGAAGGTACTAAGCAGAGGTAGTTTGACTGTCTAAAGAGAGTAGGTGGGACTGCATGAAATGATCATGAATGCCACTCTCCAAGACACTGGAAAAATTCAAACTGAAACTGAAGCAATTCAAAGAGAGCTGGGGGGGAAAGCTTATGATAATTATAGTTACATTTACTAAAAAAAAGCCCAAACCAATTGAAAAAACTATGATGAAGGAATTGAGAAAGCAACTGCAGAATCATTTGAAATGTGAAGTGTGCTTCTGAGGACTGAAAGCTGCGAACCATCAATCTGCCTGTGTGAGCTGAACTCAGGGGCTTGCCAAGACCTTTCCTGTGAGCCACCAGGGTTGTGAGTGGGCACAGAGCAGGGTGTAACCACAGCCAAGGTTTAATAATCACCCTGTCCTTAGCACACAATGGGCCTTCTTGTCTACACAGGACAGGTGCTAGAAGTCTCAGCTTGGTCCAACAAATACCTGAAAAATTTCACATTTGTTCCTTTTCTTATTGGGAAGAGTGAATAAGAAGGAGCCGGCTCCAAGACCTGGGAGACAGCTGGGTGGGATTCCCTTGGCTATTTGCTATAGTTTATCTTGCTCCAACTGTGGAATGGGATAATTAACATTTATCTTGCCTACCTTGTGGCAAAGGAGAGGTAAAATGTGATCATAATCAAAAGAATCAGAAGTGAACTTCTGTTTTTATATTATGTGTGAAGCATTTACAAAGCAAGCTATAATCACTGCCACTATCTCCATTAGGCTGAATCACATGAACTGCCAATATTTGATGTAAAAAATGGCAATTTCACATGTTCAAAATGAATAATCTTTAAACTGCAAGCATGGGCACAATCACCATGGTCTGGAAATTTTTAATAAACTCTACTGGAAGAGACGCACATTCTTTACCTACTGCCTTAAGCCTTGTGCAGATCGACATGCAATATTTGATATGTGCTTTACTTAGTCATGCTCTGCCATGTTCCAGAAGCAATATAAGGATATGCAAGTAAGAGAGTAATATCTGAAACAGGAATGAAAGAAGAAAAGTAAGCACAGAAACAGGGTAGAGCCAGGACTGAGGCTAAAGGGCAGAAGCACATGACCTGTTTTAAGGGTGGGTTCCCAAACTGGCTTAGGAAGAACTGCCATTTAAACTGTCTACTATACATGGAGATGAAATTTAAGTTCAGAATGTGAACTAAGGAGTTGGTCTTGGAGCTCCTCAGGAGGGAAAGTAACTTTCAAAGGTTCTTCCGATTAATAATTCTCTGTAAAGTCTGCTGGTGCCAATCTTACATCTGGGATGTGATGGGAGTTTAACTTGGTAGTTGATAACGAAGATGGCCAGGGAAGGTCACAAGGCACAGGCTTACTGGGTGAGGTCCAGGTGGCTGATGATCAGGCCCCGTCCGTTCTCTGTCTGCGCGAACTGCAGCAGCAGGGCCAGGCTCTGCTGCTGGATGGTCAGGACCCCGCAGGCCAAGAGGGAGGGCAGCAACCTGCCCATGTCAGGGTGCATCACAAGCAGGCGCTGGTTTTCTTCTGTAAAAGACAGGTGCCCCAGGACAGCAGTTAAAGCAGGCAGTTTCCAGCAAGCCTGAGTGGCAACATGACCCTTCACCACACACGTGAGGGCCAGGATAATGAAGTGTGAGCACACAGACTCTAGAAGCAGACTGCTAGATCTGACTGACCTGGTGAACCACCTTAACTAGTTACAAGATTCTGTGAGCCTCAGTCTCCTCCTCAGTGAAGAGAGAAAAATGATCAAACTATCAGAGCAATTATGAGGGTGAAATGAGTTAACACGTGATCATGCTTGGAACAGAGACTGACACCTATACATTAGCCACTACCATTATTATGGTCAAAGGGCCTTTTGATATCTGTGTGTGAAAATGGGAAATGTGAGGAAAGGGAACGAAATCAGCCCAACTATTGACTATCTAGACTATCACTTTTCATATAATGGCCAGAGCAAGCACTTGCGTTCTTTCTAGAAAAATGGAGTATTTCATGAAAACATTAGTTAATAAAATACGCCCCTTGCCCCCTTTATAGAATATGCACTTATTTTCAGGGTAGTGGGATTGGACTGCCCCTTCACCTGGTTCACTCTTCCTAACCAGGTATGTGATTTTGAGGTTAGGCAAAGATACAGGCTGGAGGATGAGACAAAGCCATGAAACAGCAGAATTTGTTTAGAGTTTGTCTAGGTTTTTTTTTTTTTGTTTTCTGGAAACAGTCACCGTAATCAATTCAACTAACACTGAAGTAGAATAATACTGACAAAAAGAGTCCCATTCTTTCATACCCCCTCCTCCAGGTAAGCCATTCTCTAAAGGAGTTCACATGATTAATGTTAAATATAGCATACATTCTTCCCTGTGATTGGCTTCTCTCCCCCACTCAACAATATATCACAGACATATTTCAATGTCCTTAATTTTAAACATTCCCTATCCTTTTTAAAAGCTTCTTTGTATCTGCTGAGTTGGAAACAGGAAAATTTTGTTGATTTGAGGAAGAACATTTACATCACAGACTGTTTAACATCCAGAAACATGTGATCCCCCTAGCCCCACCAATGCAGGTTCACAGAAACCGGAGCAGAATGTAGACTAAAGAAGTGAGGGCTGCAGAGAGGACTCTGTCCAGAGTCACAGTCAGTAATACAAGGTCACCAAGCCCTGCCTCTTCGCTCTCCAGCAAGGGGACTTACAAGATCATCGCAGGAGCCAGTACAGCACCCCACAGAGCAGCAGGGTACCTTGACATTAGTCTGAGCCTAATTTCTTTCACAAACGAGGCCTTCTGTTTCCCTAGCCTTCTAATACTTCAGATGATTCTACTATTACTAAGGGAAAAAATTGCATTATCTCATACTCAGCATTTTATAGTTCTCAAACTGCATCTGTCACTGACTCCTGAGGAGCCTTGTAAAAAGAAGACAGAGCTATCATTATTCACATTTTCTGTGTTTTGTGTCCAAGGACAGAACTTTTCCTCTGAAAAAAATTTTTTTAAAATGAGGGAAATGCTTAAAATTTTTACTTACTGTGAGACCACAAAAGTAGTAAGAAAGATTGCACAAAAATTTAAACCCCAGATGTTAATATTCAAGAAGGTAAGCATTAACAAGGTACATCAAATCCCTATAATTTACTGTACCAATACTATACACTAATAAGTGTCACAAGAAGTCAGCAAGGATGACTGTTAATCTTGATGCTGAAATGGGTACAGCGCTCATCAAAAAAGAAAAATATTTTTATCCAGACCAGAAAGGAGAAACTCTACTTTAACACATGAGCAGAAGCTGTGAGTCTGCTAAGTGCCTGGGCAATGAGACAACTCTTTGTGCTGACACTGATCTTGCCACCGGGCAAGGCTGCAGGTCATGCTTCTGACCCATACACCTTCTCTGGAGGGGACAGTGGCATGTCTAAACATTAATGCCCCAGGGGAGGGAACAGTCATGCTACCTGGGAGGTAATGCACTAACAGTGCATTAAGGATGTTATGGCAAGGAGCCCAGCTTACCGTTCTCTTTGCACACCGCCTGCCAGAGCCGGAGGACTGACACACACACAGTCTCCTCCACTGCATCTTTTCCTCCTGTGGAAAAGCACCTAGAATGGACCACAGAAAGCAATGTGATCTAGAAATCAGTCTGGATCTTCTCAGTTGGTTTTATTTTACCCCTAGATTCCTCAAATGAAGGTTTAAGGAAGTAATTCTATGGAGCCACAGTGAGCAGGGCAAATAGACCAAGAGCTAAGCATTGAGTAAGTAAGCATTCCAGAACAGGGATGCAACTGGAAAAAGCTGGGACCGCATGGAGGAAGGCAGTGAGCTAGGGCCATGGAAAATGACCCTTGGTGGGCCAGAGCCCATGAGTGTCAGGGACCTCCTCATGCTGGCAATCATGTGCTGGTGATTCCTAAGACTCAGAAACTTCACTGGAACAACTGAATAGAAAATAAAACCAAATTCAGCAAACTTCCTTCTACTATCTGGGTCTTTCCTTAGCTGGAATTATAAATGGGACCAGCCAGACCTGGTTGATCTCCTTTTCCAATGTGATCAATAAATTTCAAAAGAAGGAAAAAAATAGCTATCTTGCAAAAAATGGTATGAAACCAGAAGAATGGTCATTTCCTCTGAATCTGACATGCTTGGAGGACCCTAGAAAGTTTGGCTGACCTATGCTCTCTCCAGTTAACTGTGTTAACAACTGAAACTCCCTGAAGATCAACGTTCAAGGGTTGTGCATGTGACAGCTCTCAAGGGCCACCTCAAGGGCCACCATCATTGCCTGAAGGATGGCTCCACCAGTCTGCCTTCATGACACGCATTTGATTTCACAAGAAAGGGCTGTTCTTCTTCGTGTTGCTGTAGGGCTGTCTCACAAACATCCCTACCTTCTTATGACCTCATTCTCAGTGATGATACTAAACCCGCTGTGTGTTCTGAATAAAGTCCGTTCTGTGCCTGGAAAAAAATTCATAGAAAATCATATCAGACTCCTGAACTGTTTTCTTTGGCTGACCTCCAACTGTAACACAGAGAGCTGATAATGAGAAATCCAATGTGGAACTTTAAGGTCACCAAATGAGCATTTTGGAGAGAAACAGATACCTTTACATAGTGAAATACACGGTTGCTACCAGTCACTCAGTGGCATGTGTGGGACATCCTGTTCAGAGGAGGAGAGCCGAGTCTGGCACCCCCCGCCCCCCGTTATCTGACACCCATCACTGTGGAATCTTAGTGGCCAAGAGACGCTTAACTGAACTGGCATATTCATCTGTTCTTAAGTATTGATTGAGAGGATGTTTCCAGGCCCCAAAGAGGACTTTATACTCTCCAACAAACTACTGAAGTGGTATTGAGCATCCTTCATTGTATACTAAAGGGAAGGCAGAGACTGTCCAATTGTACACACATCCTGCCACTGAGTAACAAACATGGTTTAAGCTCTGGCATCAATGTTTACAAGAAGTGGTGAAATGGGTCTGGTTAGCAGGAGAGGTGATGTCTGCTCTGAAACTATTTAATATCCTGAGCAGCCATTCAGTGTGGCTGAGGTGAAGCTTACAGTTTATCCTATAAAATTCTATCTTCTGTTCCTACGGTGGAGGGGAGGCTTGGAGAGGTGGGACAGGATATTTTGAAAGGATATGGAGTATGTGTGGGGTACAGAAGGTGTGTGGGTATGTGCAGGATGTGGGGAGCATATATGAGCGGTGGGAGTGTGATGTGTACATAAGTGATGCAAGTGTGTGCTGTGTAAGTGTGGGGCAGTACATGTGATATAAGTACGTGAATGCATGCTTTGTGCATGTGTGCACGTGTGATATAAGGATATATAGACTAGTTCATGCCATGTGGATGCGTTAAGGCATGAGTGTCGAGTGTATGAATGCTTTGAGGAGAAGACACAGTTGGAGATAGTGCGTATTTCTACCTATTCACTTTAGCACCTCCACTATAGTAGATCTTCAATCAATATTTGTGGAAGGGAGAAAGGGATTCCTTGCCTCCTAAGGACAGACCTCTAAACTCCGTCCCTTCACACCAACAATATTTATGAGCGCACACACATCTCTGGCTTACAATCCTCCAACATTTCAGTCAGGATTTCAATGCCCCCTGCATAGAATAAGGGGTTCTGATCAGGTTTGGAAAGACTCTCCAGGAGATTCTTGGTCGTCACAGCTGTGTTCTTTCCTGATTCCAGCAACTCATGTGCTTTCTTCTCTTGAAGGTCTGCTTTCTCCCGAAGATCCACTTGATTCAGGTAATCTAGCACAACAAGGAAAAGCAAAGCAAAACAAAACCCTAACAATCAACATTATCACACAAGGAGCAACCTTTCTTGAGGATGGGAGGCTGAGAAGTAAAAAGCATTAAAAAAATTCAAAACTCTTCATCAGCAAGGAAAATTTTACAGTGTACAGTCTATACCCAGAGTCTTTCACCATCATGGGGATTCAGGGATATTCTTCCTGGTCTAGAAGGCTTTAAGGGAGAGTGATGGAGAAAGGAGGAAGACGAAGGTTTGAGTGGGAGGACAGAGGGAGAGAAGCAGGGCAGCTGTTAACAGGAAGGATTTGACTGTACAGGCAAGGGTGCTGCTTTGGGGCGAGTGCAGAGAAAGTATGGAAAGCACCCTAGGTGGAGAGCAAAGGGTGAGAAAAATGCAAATGAAGAACACCAGCAGGAACATTCTCACCTTTCACCTGTGTCTGCAGCTTGGGGTTTATTTCTAAGATCTTCTGAAAACACTCTCTAGACTGGAAAAAAGAAACAAGACCTTGATGAATAGTTGGAGGCAAAGGTGATTACAAGAAAGCCACTGTGCATCACAGGGCTTGGCTTCTTCATTATTTCCTCCAAGCCTTCTGCTCTCAGCATAGGAGGTAAACACAGTATGCATCTGTATTTTTGCTTAGGTTTCTCTGGTTCTGTGCGACAAGAAGTTTGTATCACGCTTTATTTTAAAAAAGTGTGCACCTCACCAAAAAAAAAAAAAAAAAAAAAAAAAATCGGAGAGGAAAAAAATGGTGTGGTCAGATACAGCCTGTGATGGAAAATATCCAGTTCTAAATTCTTGTGGATCATGTCTAGCTGGGAGAGGACTAATCTAAAGTAAATGCAAAATTTAGATATGATATTTGCACTGCGAGAGAGCAGGAGGCTACTTGTCAAATATGCCCATGGGGAGTAAGGAATAAATGAGGCTAGAGATGTTGTTGACAGAGGCTTGGGAACAGGAAGAGAACTGCCTATTTAAATGTACAAAGTTACAGAGAGTCAGTATGGAGTCCATTCAGCGGTTGTATAAAAGTCAGTTGGGAAACTTGAGAGTGAGGGGCGCTTACTGAGGAAATGTTAGGTAAAAGTTTCTGGGGAAAGGAAAACACTAGCACATGGTACAGGTGCTGGGTTTTAGGAAGTACTATCCTTAGATATACCAGGGACAGCCCAGACTATAAAACTACCAGTTATTGAGATACAAAGTGTAGGAAAAAAATGGTTCTGAGATATCTTGAAGGCTCAAGACTCACCTACAAGACTAGGCTTAAAAAAGATGTGGTACATATATACCATGGAATATTACTCAGCATTCAAAAAAGATAAACTCATGCCATTTGCAGCAACATGGATGGAGCTGGAAGGGATCATGCTCAGCGAAATAAGCCAGAAAGAAAAAGAAAAATACCGGATGGTCTCACTCATAGCAGGAATCTAGAAAACTTAAATAAGGGACCAGGAAAAAGAATAACTATAAGAAAGAAAATATCAAAATCAACAAACAACTATGAACCAGAGACACTCTATGGAGGGTTGGGGGGGGCGGGGAAAGGAGGGATTGGGGTCAAAATAAGGGGGTTGTAATTGTATGGGGAATATAAAAATAAAAATTTAAATAAAAAAGAAATGAGGAAAAAACATCAGAATAGTGACACACAGTAGAAGTATACACATCAATCATGATTTCTACAGACTGAATGTGTCCCCCAACACTCATAGGTTAAAACCTAATCCCCAATGCGAGGGTATCTGGAGATGATTAGGTCACAAGCAGAGACCCTCATAAATGGGGTCAGTGACCTTATAAAAGAGATCTCAGAGCTTCCTCACTCCTTGTGGCTATCTTGATGTTGGACTTCCTAGCCTCTTAAACTGTGAGAAATAAATGTTTGTTTTTTTGCCACCAGCCTATGGTATTTTGTTACAGCAGCCCCAAAAGACTAAGACAATGACCCTGTATCCAGCTTATTTTCAACCCTGCATCTTATCTATCAGCAATTCCTGTTATCTTCACCATCACTGTATATCCAGAATCCCATTATTCTCATAGCTCCATCACCACCAACCTGGTACAAGTTATCATCACCTCTGACTTGGACGATTCACTGCAGTAGCCTTCTCACTGGTTCTCTGTTCAATTTTTCCTATGCCAGGATATTTTTAATAGAGCAATCAGAGTGATCCTCTAAAACACCAGTGAGATCATTTCACCCCTTTGCTCAAAACCTTCCAATGCTTCCAGCTTACTCAAAGTAAAAGCCAAGGTCCTTCCAAAAGCCTGTAAGGCCCTAGGGGGTCACTTCCCCATCAATTACCTGACCTCATCTCCTATTACTCTCCTCATTTGCTCCATTCCAGCTATCCTACATGGACCACTCCTCCATTATCTATCTACAAGGCCTGCTTACTTGACTACCACCCTTCCTTCAGAGTGCCCTTTCCTCATCACTCTATATAAAACTAATGTCACCTTCACTTCCTGATTGTTTTCTAAATGATGCTTATCACTACTCAACGTACTACACATCTACTTATTTTATTTAGCTTCTGTCTCTTAGCCACCAATCTCTCAGGAATGTGAGTTCCATTAAGTCAAAGATTTTGTCTTGTTCACTGGTCAATTCCTACTGTCTAAGACAGTATCTGGGAAAGCATACAAAGAATATTTGCTAAATGAATTAAATGAATAGAATTTGGTGGAAAAAAGGAGATATTTTCTTAATTCACTTCTCTAATATTTAACCTGATTACGAGTCAATAAAGAAGTGAATTTAAATGTAGAGACATTTTGTTTTAAAAAACAAGCTTTTTAAATGGAAAGACATCCCATGTTCATAAACTGGGAGGCTTTATATTATTAACATGGTAATGTTCTCCAAATTGATCTACAAATTCAAGGTAATCCCCATCAAGATTCTATCTGGCTTCTTTGCAGAAGTTGACAAGCTGATTCTTACTTTTGTGTTGTAATCCAAAGGACCCAGAATAGCTAAAACAATAATGAAAAGGTAGAGAAAAGCTGGAAGTCGCATAATCCCCAATTTCAAAATTTACTACAAAGCTATGGAATCCAGACATAAAAAAAGATATACAGATCAATGGAATAAAATTATTGATATTCAAAAATAATCCATGCACTTATGATTAGTTGATATTTTTTCCTAAAATACTTTATTTTTGTGTAGAAGAGCTGAGGTGTAGGCCAGAGGGGTGGGCGGTGGGGGGGATGACGGTGAGATGATTCACCAGAGACAGAGTGGGGAGCAGGGCAGGCAGACTTTACTGAAATATACTGCTAAGGGGAGCAGCGGGCAAGACAGGAGAGGTCTGCTGTGCCAAATGTTGAGTTAGTTCCCTGGCTGGGGATTGAACTCAGGCCATAGCAGTGATAGTGCTGAGACTTAACCCCTAGGCCACCAGGGAGGCCCTATGAAGAACTGATTTTTGACAAGGGCATCAAAAAAATAATTCAACAGGAGGAAGAACAGTTTTTTCAACAAATGGTGCTGGGACAACTAGATACCCACATACGAAAGAATGAAGCTGAATTCTTTCCTCATACCATACACTGAAATTAACCCAAAGTGGATTAGAGACCTAAATAGCGTTAAAGCCATAAACTCTTAGGAAAAAAAATCTTGAATTAGGCAATGGTTTCTTAAATATGATATCAAAAACAGAAACAACCAAAGAGAAAAGTGGGTAATTCAGACTTCTTCAAATTTGAAAATTTTTGTGCTACAAAGGACTTCATCAAGAAGATATAAAGGTACCACAGAGAATGGGAGAAAAGTATCTACAGATCACTTGTTTGATAAGGAACTTGTATCCAGAATATACAAAAGTACTTTTACTCAAATAAAGTAACAAATAACCAAATGATATGAAAAGGTATTTTTCAAAAGACGCATAAATGGCCAGTAACACAGAAAAAGATGTCCAACATCTTGTGCTGCCATCAGGGCAGCACAATCCAAAACTAGGATATACCACTCATTCCACTGGAAACACTATAATCAAAAAGATAACAACAAATACTGTCTAGAATGTGGAAAAAGTGAAACTCTCAAACACTGCTGGTGGGAATGTAAAATCGTGCAGCCACTTTGTAAGACACTCTGGCAGGTCCTCCAAAGATTAAATAGCTATCCTGACTCAGCAGTTGTGCTTCTATATACTCAAGAGGATTAGAAACATGTCCATATAAAAACTTGTACATGAACATTCACAGTAGTCAAAAAGTACAAACAACCCAAGTATTCAAATGATAAACAGATGAGTAAAATTTGGTAAATCCATACAAAGTAATGTTATTCAGTAATACAAAGAATGAAGTATTGACATACAGAACACGGGTTAGCCTCACAAACATCATGCTATGTGAAAGAAGCCAGACACAGAAGACCACGTAATGCATGACTCCCTGTATACGGACAGCCCAGAACAGGTAGACAGAAGTAGATCAGAGGTTGCTGAGGGTTGAGATGGGAGTGACTGGGAATGTGCGCAAGGTTTTTTGAAATGTGACAAAATGTCCTAAAATTGGTAGTGGTGATGACTGCACAACTCTGCATAGATTAAAAATCACTGAAGTGTGTACTTTCGCAGGTGAACTGTTTGGTATGTGAACTGTGTCTCAATAAAGCTGCTATTAACGTGATATATCTTAGTGAATATGTATATCTGCATGGTTTATTCTAAGTGATGAGATAAGAAGTGAATTTCGTTTTCATTTTGCTTTTCTCTCTTGAGATACGCTGCTCTCAAGGCTGGGTGAACACTGGTAAAGGACGCTGCACAAGGGATTCCTATAGCAGGTGAGGCTTGATGATGTTCAATATCCTTTTTCACGCAAAGATCTTCAGCTTTGCCCTCGCGACAACTAAAAGCTGGGCAAATAGCCATGAACGTGGAGGACCAGGGTTCACCCGAGACAGTAAGAAGCATGGTTCAATGATCAAATGTGCCACTTACGTTCTCCAAGAACTCACCGTACTGTAGTTCTTCAGGGCGAGGTGGGCTTTTCCCATGTGGAAATATGCTTTTGTGCATTTCTCATCACACTGCATAAAAGAGAATGACTGATTAGATGGTTCACATTTGAAGTCATTAGCAACTTCCCTAACTGCCAAGCTAAGGTTAGGGCAGAGCTTTGGTTCTCAGGGCAGCGACCAGATTGGACAGTTAAAACTTCTCTGTGCATCTGTGACCAAACTAATCTATTCCAGCAAGGAGCCTGGATGTACAAGTAAGCTCTCCATCAAATTAATGAATGAGGCTTACCAGTTTTTATTCCATTTTAATGAGACTCAAACAAGAAACAAACCAGAAACCATTACTTTAGAAGAGCTCTTAACCTTGACTGAATTTTAGAATATCTGGGATGTTCACAAAACTCCCGAAAGTCAGGATGAAACCCACGCCAGTAGATTATACTCTGGGGTAGGGTCCAGGCATCATAATTTTTTAAACTCCTCAGATGATATATATGTACAGCCAAAACTTGAGAACCACTGGTTTATCTGAAGAGAAGAAAACAAGCTCCAGATGAACAGTTGAGCTTACTATTATTATTGAGTCCTGAAAGTTCCTGCCTGGAAATAAAGCACAAAACTTAAATACTTATCACTTCAGATCAGGGGGATGCTTCCCTCAAGGACTGAAACTTTAGGCTGAGACTTTATCATTAGCACAGGGTGTTTATACCTGCTGCCCCCAATTACTGTAACCCTAGAGGGAATGATGTGTCACAGACTATAATTTAAACCACTCAGTTAATAACTGAACCCCTTTAATTGGTAAGGTACTGTGCAGGTCAGATGCCCTTTGGAGATTTAAAATTTATACAAGTTAGGAATACACATGCAGGTATCTAAATGGTCCTGGATGAATCCCTAGTCTACCACTCCCAGGAGGGGGATGTTGTGACCAGGCCACCTCAGTTTTCTGTTGCTAATTTCCTTATCTTGAAAGTGAAGAGAGTAACAGTATCTCTCTCAGGCTGATGTGAGGAGGAAATGCATGTAGAGCAGTGCAGCACCAGGTGATGTTGTATTGGCTGCTGCAGTTACAACAGCAATCCACTCAGAGCACAGAGAAAATTTAAAGAAAAGCTAAATAGAAGAGGTGACAATAACTGTTACATTTGAAGAGGCATTTATAGATGGATTTTCATGAATATCATTTCCTATTTGTTGCTAAATGGCAGTATTAATGACAATAAGCTGTAATGCCACTGGAGCATTATCATCCAGTTCTTACCACAGGCACTGAGCTTTATGGTTCACTGAATTATAGGAGTCTTATAACAACTCTAGGAAGTACATATAATTATAATCTTCAATTTACAGATGAGGAAACTAGGGTCAGAGAGGTTTACAATCACACAGACAGTAAAAAAACAACAGGGAATTAAAATCTGGCCAGTTGACTCCAGACCCCAAAAGCTTAAAAATTATGTATCTCTTTCAGAAAAGTGCTATAGCTGTAGGAAAAAATTTACTAATTAAAAAAGGACATGCAAAGGCAGGACTGAGCTGAATCTTGAGTGATACCAAGAGGTGAAGAGAGGGTGATGGGAGAGGATGAGGTGAGCAAGGTCCAGAGGTGGGGAGCAAGAGGTGCGTTCAGTGGACAGTCAGTACCAGGGACAGGGGCTGTGCAGAGAGAAGGTGGGCTGGCCCCTAACAGTGACTCCACAGGGAGACAAGGGTGTCAGGCTGGAGGAGAGAGCACCACCTATGATGGTGTAGGAAAGCTGGCCTGGAGGCAGTGTGCAAATCTGACTAGAGGAGGGAAAGGCAGCGAGTAAGTGAAGAGACCAAAATGACTGCTTAGACAAAGGGCTAATAGCTGACACCCCCAGGGTTGTGGACATGCAGGGGAGTGCTGGTACCAGAACTTTGTCAAAGAAATGGCTGATCAGCCAGTGTCAACAAACAAGTAATGATAAGGGTGAAGGAGGATAAGTCAAAAGTTTAGATGTCTGAGAGACATCTGCTAACAAAAGGGTTGGTAAGGCAGGGTGGGCAGTGGGGAACACTGAGGTGGAAGATGAAGACTTTGTTTCTAGACTTACAGAATTTCAAATGCTGCCAAGACAATCAAATTGAAACCTGTAGGAGGCAGCTGAGCAGCAGCCCTGGAGCCCAAGGGTTGGTGACTGGGGAAGTAGGTCCGAGAGCCATTTGCAGAGATGAGAGCTGAACTGGTGAGGGGCTCTGATGGTGAAACTGCAGCAAAAGCAGAGCAGGGGGCTGGAGAATTCACAAAGGATAAGACTGCGTCACAGGAAAGGATTGGTCAAAGGCAAAAGAGTTAACTTCTGTTCTGAAGCTCCTGAGAACCAAATGTTCACAGAATCTTAAGGGCAGTGGGGTTATAATTGGGGGCAGCAAGGCCCCAACATCAGAGCCTTGTCCATGGCCTACAGCATGTCACTGGGAAGGGGGTGCTGCTGTGACCAGCCTTCCTCAGACACTGATGCAAAGGGCTGCTAGTAGATTTCCTCACTAATAGGCTCATTCTCCTTTGATCCTATGTCAGCCCTCACCAGGATTTTCTCAGATGAGCCCCAGTTCTCCTTAAAAGGAATCCTGCCTTCAGAGGAAGCTCTATTTTATTGTGCAGGAAAAATTCCACCAAGATAGAAACAATTCTGATCTTTATTGAAACCAGCTCACTGTCTTATCTTTCCTGACAAGGAACATCAGCCTTGAAATATTGCATGGGCTTGTCTGCCAATTCTAAAGAGTCAAGAAATATTAAATTGGCATGAAAGCACTAATACTATTAATAATGGAGAGCCACCGACATTCACAATTGATATATTACTTTTAAAGAGTGCAACTTTTAATTCACAGCTTCAATGTAAAGTCAAGTATTGTGAGTTTTTAGAACTCTCTGTACACCTTTTTTCCCCTATCCCTCCAATTACCCAAATCTCAACTAGGAGCCTCATGGGCACTTAACAAGACTGGCTGCTGAGTGTCAGAGATTTTTTTTCAATGTTGGCTCTTTTGTACCCAGTTTGCTTCAGTTTCACTGTTAATTACATTAATATTTGGGACCAGGCCAGGGTGTTACCCTGTTAGCATGATGTGATAACTACTCTTTGGTCCTTTTCAGGTATTTCTGGAAGCCCCACGAAGTAATGCTATCCACACCCGGGGGTTATAGGGGAGAGGCTATTCATAGTAGATGGTTAAGAGCACTGGTTTACAGTTCAACCAACATTAGCTGTGGGATCTTGCACAGGTTACTTCATCTCTATGGCTTCTTTTCTCTGTCAGAAAAATAGGGATAAAAGTGGTAATGAATGGAACAGAACAGAAAATTGTGAGGTTCATGAGAGAGAGCTCCTGGACCATGAGCAGCAAGTGGTGGCCTTTGCTGTTTTGTTGGAACAATCGAGGAAAAGGTTCTTGCCTCTCTTTTCTTAAAGAATGATGGTAGGACAAGAAAAGAAAGCAAGTTAGTGGATCTATGCTGGAGCTGTGAGGAATCTAAGAGGAATAGCTTTAGGCAGTTGTTAAATCTTAAAAGTTATAATAATGCAATGGGACAAGATTTGGCACTCACCCTCTTATTTAAGGAATGAAGAAATCACTACTCCAGGCACTGGTTTCAGAGGATCCCCAGTATTTTACAAATGATAATTAGTAAAGGCCAGCTCCTAGTTCATCCCTGTATCCCTTGCATCCCCATTGTCAAAAAATGAGGAAGTAGGTTGGGTCAAGATGGTGCTGTCAAATGTGTTCCTTTTTGGAGCCACAGTCACTAAGCTGGGGCCAGGCACTGACCCAGGGAATCTAAGCCACGAGACAAGCCTGGCACATTCTCCCAATGCCTCAATTTTACTTGGTCAAATTAATTTAATGTTGTATTAAAATCAACAGATGCATTTTATGGTATACAACACAAACTCTGCAAGGAATTTTAAGATAAAACATATCTAAAAAGAAATTTCATGCTTTCTGCTTATAGACCCTCCAGGGGGTCATGTTCATCTTCCTCTGCTGTTAGAGATCTTCAGTAAAGCAGTCTGAGAAACACTGGTTTTGGGGATTTAAAGCTCCCTATGACAGAGTAACAGGCAATGTGGACTAAGCATTACTTCAGTGTTTCTTCACCTGAAATAATATCCCGAAGAAGTGATTGAGATAGTTCTCTTTTAAAAACTCTAATTTTTCCATCACCAGTCCTTACTCCTTCCCACCTTTGATTATCTGCTGTGGCAGATCTTGGAGGAAGCACCACACACAGAGTAATGCTACCTGACTGAGGCCTGATGAGCATCCAGGCTGAACAATAGTAATCCTCTCTTCTGATTATTCCTCTACAAAGAGAGGATGCTGTAATAACTTTCCAAATTATTGGTGCTGGAGGGAAAAAGCACAAACTGAAGAGGAGAAGTGATGACATTTAGAAATAGGCTCCCGAGGATGGGGCGGAGCAACATGGCGGCGAGGAGACGCTGCGAGTAAGATCTCCCATTAAAAAAAGTTAATAGGCAGGAAAAGCAGCAGGTCCCAGTGAGAAGTGGGACACGGAAGATAAACGGACGACTCCAGTAAACTAGAAAGTTGAAAGTTGAAGAAATAAGTTGCCATAAAAGAGGACCAGAAGGGAGGAAAGCACAGAACCCTGCTCCCCTCCCCCACCCACAGAGGCGGCACTCTCCGACCAGCAGAGAGGAGGAAAACAACACACTAAAACGACCAACAAGAACAAACTACGCAGCAAGCGGGACTGTGAGTGGAAAGGAACTATTGCAGCCACCACACCCCGTGAACGGGAGCTGCGGAGAACCCTGCAGGATTCGCCGAGGCGGTGACCTCCAGGCGCCATTAAATAGAGACCCCGCCCCCCAGGAGGAGGCCAGGACCAGCACACAGCCCTGGGCCGCCCGGTAAGCTTGCGCGGAAAAGCGGCACGCTGGAAAAGCAAACGCGGATCGGGATCGAGCGGAAAAGCAGCGCGGTTGAAAAGCAAACGCAGATTGGGATCACGGCTGCCCAGGTCCCCGCGCCTGCGACCTAGGCTTGCAGGGAGACGCGTGCGA